CCACTTTTACTGGTGCTAGGGTCAAAGTCAAGATTTTGTGCACACTAGGCAAGCGCTCTGTCAACCGAGTTGCATTCCTAGGTCCAAGGACACTAACTTAAGAGACCAGTGAGCACTTAGCACGTTCTAGGTGACTGTTCACACTAACGCTAGCCAACATTATCGTGTCTTCAGCCCACACCATCATGGCCAGCATTGAACATTTTATTTGAATCTGTGTGTGCATTTGTTTGTGGGCACAGGAGCATACAGACCACAACCAACACGTGGAGGTCAGAGGACAACCTCATGTGTTGGTCCTCACCTCCCCCCTTATTTGAGGCAGGGTCTAAGGTTGTCAGTGAATGCCAGGCTTGCTGGCCTGTGGGCTCCCACACATTTTGCTGTCTCTGCTTCCTATCTTGGTGTAGGAGTCCTGGGATTTATAGACATGGGAATTCGAACTCAGGTCTTCATGAGTTCATGGTAATCACTTCCCCCACTGAGCCAACTTCTTGGCTGGCTGCTTTTTTTCTTTTTTTTTTCTCCTTCTAATTTGGTAGTTTAAAAATATGGCATTGTTTTAATTTGCATTTATCCCCTCACCTGTGAGATTAAAACGTTCTAAAAATTCCTAGTCTTTTGTGTTAATGTTTTTGTTCTGTTTCTGTGATCTGATTCCTGTAGCAACAGTTTCCTTTTTAACTTCCTGGTGTGTGTGTCTCTGTGTGTGTGTGTGTGTGTGTGCGTGTGTGCGCGCGCACGCAGGTGTGCTCACCCTATGTATCTGAGTGGAGACCAGAGGTTGACATTGTGTGTCTTCCTCTATTGCTGTCCATTTTAATCTTTGAGACCAGGTTCCTCACTGAACCTAATGTTCACTGTTTCAGGTAGCAGGCTCAGGATCCAGTCTGCGCCACCTCTAATGCTGGACATATGGGCTGACACTTCCACAGTCGGCTTTGTGTAGCTACAGGGGGTTTGAACTCAGGTCCTCTTGTTGTGCAGGAGATTCTTTTGTTTGTTTGTGTTTTTGTTTTTGAAGACAGGCTTTCTCTGTGTAGCCCTGGCTGTCTTAGAACTTGCTTTGTAGACCAGGCTGGCCTCGAACTCACAAAGATCTGCCTGCCACTGCCTCCCAAGTGCTGAGTTTAAAGGCCTGCACCACCGCTACCTAGCACTCAAATCAGACTCTTTACCCATTGAGCCACCTGGCCCCACAGGCCCTTAACCTTTAACAATGCCAGGGTCACCCTCTCATTACTTTGACTTGTGAAGCAAGTCAAACTCTTTTTCTGCTTCACCCTCTCACTCCTCACCAGTGTCCAGCTGTGGTCACATCTTCCTTTGACTATTTGTCAGCTTCCTCCTCCTGGAGCCCACTCATCTGTCACAGGCACCATTGGGAGCATTCTGGGCCTTGTGTTTCTTCTTGGATTTTTCTTTCTGCTACTGTGGTACTGACTTCCAAAGCAATGATTGGCAAGTGTCATCCCCCGCCTAGGACCGAGGCTAGCAGCCTCCACTGGACACTGCCTTCTTTGCACGGCTGCCCACAGCTCTGCATCTGAGAGCCTCCACACCCAGCCATCTCCCACAGCTCCGCAGCTGGGAGCTTCCACACTCAGCCATCTTTTACAGCTTGCCTTGCGATACTTCCTTACGCCATCTCCTCTTCCTGGACCCCCCCCCCCCCGCATGCATTCATTTTTCTGCATTTAAACTTTTTCTTTCTTGTGGCTGGGGAGATGGCTAGTGCATGAGAGCACTTGCAGCATGAGGATGTGAGTTGGAAACTCCACCACCCATGTGAAAAGCTGGAACAGGGTCACTGCTGCATCCACTGCTATGCAGGGCTCGCTGACCATCAGACTAGCTCAAAGGGAGAAGCCTTGTCTTAAGGAAATAAAGTGGAAGCCAGGTGGTGGTGGTGCATGTCTTTAGTCCCAGCACTTGGGTGGCAAGGGCAGGTGGATCTCTGTGAGTCCAAGGCCAACCTGGTCTACAGAGTGAGTTCCAGGACAGTCTAGGCTACTCAGAAAAACCCTGTCTCAAATTTACTTATTTATTTATTTATTTATTTATTTATTTATTTATTATTACTGTGTGTGTGTATGTATGTGTGTATATGTGTGTGTGAGAATGTGTGTATGTGTGTGAATGTGTGTATGTGTGTGAGTTTGTGTGTATGTATGTGTGTATGTATGTGTGTGAGTGTATGTGTGAGTGTGTGTATGTGAATGTGTGTGTATGTGTGTGTGAGTGTATGTGAATGTGTGTGTCAGTGTGTGTGTGAGTGTGTGTGTGAGGGTATGTATGTGTGTGTGAGTGAGTGTATGTATGTGTGTGTGTATGTGTGTGTGAGTGTGTGTATATTTGTGTGTGTATGAGTGTGTGTGAGAATAACCTTTAGACTCAATTCTCTACTTACACCTTTATGTCTGTTTTGGTTTGCATTATCAGGTGACAAGCAATCTTAAGCCACCTCAGCGCCCTGCCCCACCACACCACACTTTCTTGGTGCTGGGGTGGAGACTGAAGCCAGGACCCTGTGTCCTGGTCAAGTACTCTACCACTGAGCCACACCCCCAGCCGGGCTTTTAAGACTTGGTTGAATATCACTCTCCTAGATGCATTTGTCTCAGATTCGCCCATTCTCTTAGTTACTCTACACTCTTCTGAATTGCCTTTTCAAATTACAGGGCATCATGGGCAGACTTTCTTCACCAGAATCAAGGAAGACAGGAAGGGAGCCGTACTTTAGGAGAAGGGCGATACATATTGTTTTGAAGAGTTGAATATGGAGTGGTAGGAGGTTATTCAAATAAAGCTACATATTCCTTGGGCTACTAGAAATATGAGCCTAGAGGAGAGAGGTCAGACTTGGAAGTTCATCTGCATCGATAATAGCGATATTTAGTGGAATTCAGAATGGATGTAGAAACTGGCGGGGGGGGGGGAGAACAGAAAGAATTTAGGGTAACAGCAAACAATAGTCTAAGACAAAGAATAGGAAATGGAACCTAGGTATAAAGGAGAGAATCAGGAAAGGTGAAAGGGGCTGGTGAGAGGGTTCAGTAGGTCAGGGCACTTGCCACCAAGCCTGAGAGTTGGGATTGGATGACCCCTGGGCCCCACACAGTGGAAGGGGAGAGCCAGTTCCTCAAGGTGCCCTCTGAACTACTCACATGCGATCACATATAAACACGCACACACACACACACACACACACACACACACACAGAGAGAGAGAGAGAGAGAGAGAGAGAGAGAGAGAGAACTGAGTAAGCTACTCCTTCAGGAAGTGTGCTCAGCAGCGAGAAGAAAGGAATCAACGAACTGCTCCTGCATCCTGGAAGCTACACAGAGAATTTGGGTACTGTGAGAAGCATATTCAGTTTTATGGGATGGCTCTACCCAGGAGACAGAGGGAGAGTGTGAGAGCCCGGTTAGCCTCTGCGCATGCCTGTGAGGACTTGCCTTGATAAGGTTCTGGTGAGAGGACCTGCCCACTGTGGGCGGTGCCACTTCATGGGCTGGGTGCTGGAATTAAAAAAAAAAAAAAAAAAAAAGGAAAAAACCGGCTGAGCAGAAGCGTTAGCTCATCCTCCTCTGCCTCCTGCTTGTGGACCCCTGTTTCAAATTCCCATTGCCTGGATTCTCGCGACACGATGGACCGTACCCTTGAACCGTGAACCAAAGGAACCCTTTCTGTCTTAAGATGTCCGTCAGGGTGTTTCCTCATAGCAACAGGAAAAGACACTAAGATAGACTGACAGAGCAGGCACAGATGCAGTGTAGCTCACCAGTGTCTGCTTAGTAGGTGTGAGTCCTTGGGATTCATCCCCAGTGTGAAAGAAGCAAGCGAGGGAGGAGAGAGGGAGAAGGGAGGAAAACAATAGACCCTGCATCCATGCTGAAAGAACCTTCCAGAGACAACATTGCAGAGTGTACATGCCAGGCCTGTACTTAAAGCTCCACCTCTTAGAGGCGTTGAAATTTTAAAGGTAGAAAAGAGCTGTGCATGGTGGCATGGGGGTTGGGGGGGTGGGGCGGGGGGTGGGAGTGGGGGGTGCTGGTGATGGAGAGGCAGATGGATCTCTGAGTTTAAGGCCAGCCTGGTCTATAAAAGCCAGTTCCAGGACAGCCAGGACTACACAGAGAAAACTCTGTCTCAACACCCTCCCCTAAAGTATTTTATCATTGGTAGGGCAGGTAGGTTGTGCTCAGGAGGCAACTTGTGGGGGTTTGTTCTCTCCCCACATAGGTCCTGGGGATTGAACTAAGGTCATCAAAGTTGAAGGTTTTACTAACTGAAGCATCGTCAGGTAATTATTTTTTTAGACAGGGTCTCACAGTGTAGCCTACACTGGCATTGAATTCTCTCTCTCTTTATCTCTTTTGGGTTTTCGAGACAGGGTTTCTCTGTGGATTTGGAGGCTGCTCTGTAGACCATGCTGGTCTCAAACTCACAGAGATCCACCTGCCTCTGCCTCCCGAGTGCTGGGACTAAAGGTGTGCGAAACCATTGCCTGGCCTTGGCATTGAATTCTCAATCTTCCTTCCTTAGTCTACTGAGGCCTGGTTGGGATTACAGGTATACACCAGCACACAAGACTGAACTATGGCTGAGCAGCCATCCTTTGAGAGAGGCATTTATTTCTGAATGTACATTAATAATTCTGGATGACATGACAAGTCACTAAGATGTGTGAGTTTGAGAAGTTGTCCCAGCTCTGAGTGACGGCGTCCATATCTGCACGAACGGTGTGTGTTTCCTGGAGTCAGTGTGAAGATGACTGGAGACCGTGCATGTGAAGTGCAAGAGCAGGCGCTCTCCAAATGAGCACGTTGTTTTATCATATTTTTTTGAGCTAGTGGGATACGATATCAGTCTGGGGTCCTTGAAGGGTGAAGTGAGAACTCTGCAACTCAAACCAGCAGAGTCGTGGGCACTGTTCTTGGCAGGGATGCTGGGGTACCAGAGCTCTCAACTTCCTTGGTATGGCTTCTATTTACAGCTCAGCCTGATCGGTTTGGCCGTTTTGACTCGAAAAGTGCTGCATGGGACAAAGGATCGTTCCCTCTCGTCATCAATAGACTTAAGGTGGAAGACTCAGACACTTACATCTGTGAGGTGGAGAACAGGAAGATGGAGGTGGACTTGTGGGTGTTCAAGGGTGAGTGGGGTAGCTCTGGGACAGACACCGCCCCTCCTCCCTTTTATTCTTGTACCAAAACAGGGACCTGAGCTGATGACCTTTCACAGACCATTGGGGACAAGGAGGAAGGAAGAGGAGAAAGGGACCCTGACTTGTGCTGAGATTGGGAGAGCTGGGAGTTAGGAGGGGAGGCATTGCTGGTGGGGACATGGAGAGACACTCTTCCTTCTTCCTTTGTCCTCGGGGATGGCGTGAGTGATGCCGGTTGTCTGATTCCTCCACAGTGACTGCCAGTCCGGGTACCCGCCTGCTGCAGGGACAGAGTCTGACCCTGAGCTTGGATATCAGCTCTAAGGTTACTAACCCCTCGATGCAATGCAAAGGCCCAGGGAATGGAGTTGTCAAGGGTTCCAAAGTCTTCCATGTGCCCAACGTAAGGATTCAGGACAGTGGCATCTGGACCTGCACCGTAACCCAGAACCAGAAAAAAGAAATAGTCAGCATAAACATCTCAGTGCTGGGTAAGAAGCCCAGGAACTCCCAGGCCTGGCTTGGCTCTCACCATTACAGCAACCTAGGGAGTATACAAGAAGGAAGGTGTGGGAAGTTCCAGGGGCCAGGGGAGGGAAGTGGCAAAGGCCCCTATTGTCCTTGTCTTTGATTCCACTTCTACTAAGTTGACAAGTTCATTTCCTGAGGAATACTGACTTCAGCAAACCAGGCATTGCATCTCTATATCCTGAGCTATGCCCCACAGGAAGACAGGGAACCCCAAACACAGATCCTGTGTAATACTGATTTAAATCCCAAACCTGCCACAACCATGCAGTCCTTCTTAGTATTTACATCGTCCCTTTCCCATCCTCTTCCCAAACCCTCCCATGTACTCACCCCCACTTTCTTTCCAATTCATGGTGTCTTTTTTCTTTGTTTTACACATATGTGCACATGCACACGCACACACAGAACCTGTTCAGTCTATATGACTGTATAATGTTGCTTGTATGTACATTTTTTCAGAGCCGACCATTTGGTATTGTATAATTGGTGTGCTTTTCCCTGGGGAAAATTACTTCTCTGCTCTCAACATTCCTAAGTTGCCTGTAGATTTTGTTTTTGTTTTTGTTTTGTTGAAGGCTGAGGCCTCATGAGTTCCCCCTTCCACATTAGCACGGTGTTACCCCAGTTCAGGTCATGTTGAGGGAGCCATGTTGGTGAGATTTTATGGGTGTAGTTTCCGACATTTGTAGAAGACACATCTCACAGCCAACTCTCGGGTCCTCTGGTCCCTCCAATCTTCCCATCCCTCTTCTGAAGTGATTTCTGAACCAAAGGTGCAGGAGTTGTGTTGTAGATGTGTCAGGTGGGAGCGGGTTCCACACCTCTACAATTAACAGCCTCCATTTGTTACAAAAAGACATTTCCTTGATGAGGAGAGGGAGCTACACTTGTCTGTGGAAATAAGGACAAACAATTAAAATGTCATTAGGGATTATGCTGGTTTAGTTATGATGGTAGTAGGTGTGACAGTTAAGATAAGAATGGCCCTCATAGGCTCATGTATGTGAATGCTTAGTCACCAGGGAGTGGCTCTGTTTGAGAAGGATTAGGAGGTGTGGCCTTGTTAGAGGAAGTGCGTCACTGAGAGCATCTCTCCTCTCTGCATTTGGATCAGGATGTAGCACCTGCAGCCACAGCTCCATTTGCTGACATGATTCCATCCATGATGGTAATGGACTAAACCTCTGAAACTGTAATCACAGCCCCGATTAGACAATTTCTTTTATTAGAGTATCCTTGGGCATGGTCTCCTCACAGCAACAAAACACTGACTAAGACACAGGTTCAACTCCAATATCCAGCCCTGGGTAGTTGGTTAGGTTTGCACTACCAGGGACGATTTCCCTCTTGTTGAGTGGATAACTATGTATTCATGCTTTGGTTTCTGCATCCATAAAATGGAGATGATGCTGACTGTGGCAGCACCAACCTCCCGGTACCACAGTAAGAACTACAATTGTGCTGGGGTGGGGGTGTGCACACTAATCCCAGCACTCGGGAGGCAGAGGCAGGTGGATCTCTGTGAGTTCGAGGCCAGCCGGGTCTAGGGAGTGAGTTCCCGGACATCCAGAGCTACACAGAGAAACCCTGTCTTGAAAAACAGAAGAAAAAAAAAAAAAAGGAAAAAGGAAAGAACTACAAGGTACCGCGTCTAGACCGGTGGCTGGACACAGCAGGCCTTATTTTCTTGTTGGCTGAAGGATGGTAAGCAGAGCTCAAGTCGCTCCTGGGGTCCCCAGGAGAGAGAAATGACAACCTCGGTGGGCAGCCTGTCCTGACCCCCTGTGCTGCAGGCCTGCTCCACCGTTTACTCCCTTGTCTTCTCCCTCTGCACTCAGGGATGTTTCTGTCCCCTTCTCACCTCCAGGTTTCCAGAAGACGTCTGCCACAGCCTATAAGAAGGAGGGGGAGTCCGTGGAGTTTTCCTTCCCCCTTAACTTTGGAGACGAAACCCTGAAGGGGGAGCTGAAGTGGAGGGCAGAGGACGCCCCCTCCCCCAAGCCCTGGGTCATCTTTTCCATGGAGAACAAGAAGGTGTCTGTGCAAACGAACAAGGACACCCTCAAGGTCCAGATGGCCGAAGCGCCCCCACTCCACCTCAAGATACTCCAGGTCTCACTGGAGACAGCTGGCTCTGGGAACCTGACTCTAACTCTGACCAAAGGAACGCTGCACCAGGAAGTCACCCTGGTGGTGATGAGATGTAAGGGGTGGGCTGAAAAAGGACAGCCAGTGAAAGGAAAAGGGGTGGTCCAGGGCTCCCGCAAGGGAAAGGGGGATGCGCTGACCCTGCTTGTCTAGCTAAATGATGAAGGACCCTCCAGGTTCTGAGCCAGTTTGTCTTGCCACCCCCCCCCTTTTTGTGCTGGGGATAGAAACCAGGGCCTTATGCATGCTGTGCACTAACTCTTCCTGAGGGGCACCCAGTCCTGGGCTGGCTTTGAATTGAATTCAGGCTGAAACCCACAGTTCTTCCCCAGCATCTACACTCTGGCCTGGGACGGGCTCCACCGAAGCTTAGACTACCATCAGGGCCTAGTTCTTCCTCTACCCTGCAGCCCTGGCTGAGTCCCTTCCACACCTTGGACCTGCTTGCTCACCTTTTCTTTCCTCCTCTCCTCTCTCCTCTCCTCCCCCCTCCCCTCCCTTCCCCTCTTTTCTTATCTTTTCTTTTCGAGACAGGCTTTCTCTGGGTAGCCCTGACTGTCCTGGAACTCACTCTGTAGACCAGGCTGGCCTTGAACTCACAGATCCTCTGATTAAAGGTGTGCACTATTGCTGCCTTTTTTTTTTTTTTTTTTTTTTTTTTATGTCTATGTAAGGTTGTCAGAAGCCTTGGAACTGGAGTTATAGCAGACAGGTGTAAGTTGCCATGTGGGTGCTGGGAATTGAATCCAGATGGTCTGGAAGAGCAGCCAGTGCTCTTAACCAGTGAGCCATTCTTCCACCCCCTTAAGATTTATTTTTATTTGAGTGTGTGTGTGTGTGTGTGTGTGTGTGTGTGTGTTTGCATGGGCATGCATGTGTGCATCACACACATGCACACACACATACACACACACACACACACACACACACAGAGAGATTGTATGCTATTCATGTCATGACAGAGGAGGCCAGGAGAGCTTCAGATCCTGGAGCTAGAATTATGGTAGTGAGATGCCATGTGAGTCCCTTGGAAGAGCAGCAAGCACTCCTAAGCTCTGAGCCATCTCTCCTGCCCCATCATCTTTTTAGTATGGAACAAAGTCTCTGCACATAGTAATATCAACCTTGACAATGAGTTATTTGTACCCTTACCTCGTCATGACACCATGTCTAACCCTGATACTGAGCACATGCCAGGCCCCATTCAAACACTTCAGGCATTCATACATTCCATCACTGTGGGTGCAGGTGGTTAAGCAGTTTGTCCAGGGACACACTGTGTGTCGCTGCAAATGCCAGGGCTGGCACAGTAATGATCCCTCGCAGCAAGAAGGAAATCTGGCTCAACATGACCTTGGGTTCAAATCCAAGGAGAGCTCACTCCCAGGCTGTTTCTCCCGGACAATTATGTATAGGACTGTTTCCCCCATCCCACTGAGTCACCTTACTTATAGCTTGGAAATGCTATAAAGTAAGGCTCCAGAACTCTGGGTCTCTTTCCTCTGCAGTGGTTCAGGAAAAGGACACTTTGACGTGTGAGGTAAGGGGACCCACCTCCCCCAAGATGAGACTGATCCTAAAGCCGAACAATCAGGAGGCCAGGGTCTCCAAGCAGGAGAAGGTGGTTCAAGTGCCGGCCCCGGAGGCAGGGCTGTGGCAGTGTCTACTGTATGAAGGGGAAGAGGTCAAGATAAACTCCGAGATCCAGGGTAAGGAGTCAGTCCCTAAGGCCTCTTGTGTAGCCCTGGCCTCTTCAACTGTGAGATCTTCCCAGGGATTAGCCCCAGCTCGCTAACTCCTCTGACACGGGGTATTATGTACAGTGGGCCTCGGTCCCCATTTCCATACAGCCTAGGAATAAGGCCCTCCTGGCTAAGAGCTACCCTCCTTCACGGCTTCCCTGTCAACCTAAACAAACACACAGGGCCTGACATCAGGCCCCTGGCTTGCAGCTCTCTAGAGAACTGTTCTGTACCCCTAAGGCCTGGTGTCCTTTGAGAACCTGTGTCCTCAGCTCTTCTCTCTGACCTGGGACCACAGGTAAACTGTCCCTTGATGTAGACATTGGGTGTCTCTCTTGGCAGTGCTTGAGGTGGAACCCAGGGCCTCCCTCTACCACAGCTGCATCCCCAGCCAAATACCTCCCCTGCCTCCTCTCTCTCTCTCTCAGTTTCATCCAGAGGGTTGAACCAGAACCAGCCAATGTTCCTGGCTGTTGTGCTGGGGGGCACCTTCAGCTTTCTGGCCTCCGTGGGGTTCTGCATCCTCTGCTGTGTCAAATGCCGGCACCAACAGGTGAGTGAGCTCCCATCATCCTCCACTGGGCCCTCAGGCACAGTGCCTTTACATGAGGCTGAGCACCCTAGGACTATCTGACTTAGCTCTCCCTGCCCAGCCCTGAAGCTCCTTACTGCAGACCAGGCTCTGCCTCTGGTCCCATCTGAAGGGAGACACAAGGAGCTGAGTCAATGACAGCATGGGTGGCTTAAGCCACAGTAAATGCTTCTTCTCTGCCAGCTTCCCCCTCTCCCCCCTCCAAGGGGCACCTCCCTCCTGGAGGACTGGGACCCTCACAACTCTTCTCCTTGTCCCTGGGCAGCGCCAGGCAGAACGGATGTCTCAGATCAAGAGGCTCCTGAGTGAGAAGAAGACCTGCCAGTGTTCCCAGTAAGGATCTGGGCTGAGAGGGAGGAGGGGGAGGGAAGAGGGGGAGAAAGAAGAGAAGGAGAAAGAAGAGAGGGACAGAGAGGAGGGGGAGGGAGGAGGGGGAGGAGGGGGAGGGAGGAGGGGAGAAAGAGGCGGTGGAGAGAATGAAAACTGGACCGGTAGGGGGACAGCTGGTAGAGGTGAAGGTGGGGGCAGTGGGCCTGACGTGTGTCCAGACAGATGCTGCAGCGATGTCCGTTGGTACCACTGCTCCAAGAGAAAAGTGGGGTCTGGGAACCATGGAAGCCGCAGCACCGAGGGGTTGGGAGAATGGGTTAGCTCCCTTCTGTCTTCTTTCTTCCAGCCGAATGCAGAAGACTCGGAACTTCATTTGAGACCTAGGCCCCATTGCAGCCTGACAACTGTCTTGTCTCCTCTCCTGAGGCTGTGGACCAGATGAATGTAGTACAGACATTCTGCCCCCTCCAGCCTCCTGCCCCCCTCTTCCATAGCTGGCCACTGTTCCTCTCCCTCTACGCCCAAGCCCACAGTAGAGCCTGCTCTCTACTTTTCAGACACCCAAACACAGCTTATTCCCCCAGCTTCCTTCCCACCAAAACCTCAGCCCCTCTCTAACTGCTGTGCAGATCCCCTTTCCAGTGTCTGCACAGCCCAGCCCTGCCTGGCATGGATGGTGGGGTGGGTGTGTGGAAATACACAGCACAACTTACAAGAGAGGGTCCTGGGACTGAACTGAGTGGGGACTTGTGCAGATCACACGGCCTTTCAGGGACAGATGTAGACCCCAAAGCTTCTGAAGCCAGCTTGAACTTCCCATGCTGCCTGCTTCTTACTTGGTGTTGGCAAGACCAGACTCATGCACGCACCAACACACACCCAGGCCACAATCCCTCTGCACATAGCCACACACTTATCCACGGGTAATCTATAGCCAGTTTAATGTCCTTGGTATTGAACCCTTACAAAAACCTTACATGTGGGTGAGTAAAATGGCTCAGCAGCAAAAATTCTCGCTGCCAAGCCCCAGGACCCAAGTTCAATCCTTGAGGACGGAAGGAGAGAGCTGACTCTTAAAAGTTGTCCTCCACTCCTGTGCCATGGCCTTCATGTACTCACTCTCTCTCTCTCTCTCTCTCTCTCTCTCTCTCTCTCTCTCACACACACACACACACACACACACAGAGAGAGAGAGAGAGAGAGAGAGAGAGAGAGAGAGAGAGAGTGGGGGTTGGGGGTAGAGAAATCCTACGAGTTGGAAGAAGTGACCAATCTCCAATAAAACAGAACTAAGTTTGAATGATTACCCAAGGTTGCACAGTTAACTGTGCAGATGTCAGGACTAACCCAGGCCTCCGATCCCTAGAGCCACTATCTGTGATACAGAGTGAAAGCTAGGCAGCTCTCCAGAGCTAGCCACAGGCACCAGGATGCACCTTGGAAGCGCAGGGGCATGCACCTGCACCTGCAGGATACCCTGTGTCCAGATAGCCAGAGGATGGAGGGGCGATGCTTGTTTCGAATTCCCCCTTGACCACTGCTGTTTATGGATTCCTTTATCGAAGGACCAAACCCCAGTTCTCTTAGAGCAAGGCTGAGACACATGCAGACCTGCCACTCACTGCGTGTGCAGCTGGGAAGTGAGCTAGAGAAGATCCTTGGGGAAGATGACTGCCCCTTCGGCCTTTGCCACACATCCAGGGAAAGCAGGGTTGGTTATAAGTATTCTCCCTGCCATCTTAATCTGTTTCTCTCAAAGCCCCGGCCTCCGCGCCTCCTCCCTCCCTCCCTCCCCCCCCTCTCCCAATCTCGTTCCTTCCTCCTCTCTTTCCATTCCAGATGACCTCTTCCAGAAAGACCCCCTCCCCCTCCCCAGTTGCCGATGGGCTCCTCATTGCTTACTTTTTATTTGTGCTCACTCCCCACTCCTGCTTCCTCAGCTGACAGAAAAATAAAGACTATAAGTAAAATGCACTGTGTGTGTGTGTGTGTGTGTGTGTGTGTGTGTGTGTATGGGGGACATGCACTTTTCTGGGGACCCAGGAACCTTTGGGCTGTAGTTGCCAAGTCTAGCCCAAGAAGAAGGTGAAGTTGCCCAGAGAAGGAAAAATGCCTAGGAGGTTGATTTCCCACCTCCTTGTCGCTGAAGCACTGTGCAGTTACCCGAGAGACTATGGGTGATGGGTGCTTTCCTGCAGTCTGAGTATGGGAGTGGAGAAAGACTGGAAACTGATGTGTGTCCCCATCGTAAGTATATGCTTGTGTTCTGGAAGGTGTACATAGGTGCACCAACTTCACAAGCGTCTTAGCTTCCAGCAGGCCTTCAGGTGCCCCCCCCCCCCCAAGCTCTACTAAGAAAGAGCAAGCAGCCTTCACAAGGATGCTCACAGTGACACACGGTGACACTCGGTTCCTCCTCCCCAACAGCTAGCTCCTCAGTCCCTAACAACACCAGCTGCCTCTTCGGGCCCATTCGTGTTCAAAAACCGGGACGGGGTGGGGGCAGGACACCAACCGCTTCACCAATGAAGCCCGCTCCCCGCCGTCCTCGCCCCCTCCCTCTCCGCTCCTTCCTTGCCCCTCCTCCTCTAAGTCACCGCCGTCCAGTTTCCCCGCCCCACCCTCGCCACCACCCCGACCCCAAGACCGGCCAGCGGTTCCCTAACCCCGGCCTCGCAGGCGGATGACCTCGGGAGACAGGGGTCTCGAGGGGCCGCAAGCTAGTGCGCCGCGGGCTGAGCCTGAGAGGCCGGGCTGGGGGAGGAGGCCGGGAGGGAGGGAGCGAAGGGAGGAGGAGGGCTGGAGAGCCGGAGCCGGCAGGCGGCGGGAGCCCGGGCCAGCCTCGTCGGGAGTGCGTCTCCTCCGCCGAGCGGGGCGCAGCCAGAGGTAAGAGGACCCAGGCCCGGTCCCCCGCGGCTCCTCTCACCCCCCACCCCGCCCAGCCAGCAGCCTCCGCTTCAGCCTCCCCCGCCCCCTCCTCCCCAGCCACCTGCTGTTTCTGCCCTGGAGAACACCCTAGGTGACAGGAGGGAGGAGCCACCCGACCTTATCCCATCAAGGCGAAGGGCGAGGGACCCCTGTCGGCCAGGAAGCCCCCAATAGTCCTCCTCCCCTTCCCGTGTCTCTCTGTCCTTCATCTCCTTCTCCCTGCCCTTCAAGTCTTTCTTCTTCCCTCCCTCTCTGACTCTCCCTCTCTTTCCCTCTGACTTTCCCTCCCACCAACTGGGTCTGGGGGGGGGGGAGGAAGGGGTCCAAAGACTGTAGGGAAGGGCATGGGGGCCATCCGGAAAGATTCCCTGCACCTCCCCCTGGCTGTCCATTGCCATGGCAACTAGGATGTACTGGGCTGGGGGAGACAGAGGTGGGGGTTGGACTGAGACCTCCTGGGGGGAGCTAAGGCCTAAGGTTTTTCCTCAGGAAATAGAGGGAGCACAGCTGCGCCCCTACTCCCCCCTCCCCTCCCCCGTTTGCCCCGAAGCCATTATGCGGGTCCTTCCAGCCTTCACTCCGCTCAGCTCAGCGGTTGACTTGATTTCCTAGTGTCTTCCCCAGGTCTGGCTGAACTGTGTCACTAAGATCAAGACCCTCCTCCCTCCCTCCCATCAGAGGGAGACTGAGGCTCTGGCCCAGAGGAGGAGACCCAAGGTCTCCTGGTGAGGACAGCCAGCTTTTCCTCAGGCTCTCGGTTCCTCTATCCCCTCCCTCCACAGCCCTCCTTCCCACTCCCCTCCCTCCAATGCCTCCTACCCAGGGGCTCCGAACCCTCCCTGCTATTTTCAGATACTACTGCTTCCCCCTCTTTCTTTTCTGCTCAAACTCTCCTCCTTCTCCCTGGTCCCCCTCTTTCCATTCCTGGATGCGTCTGATGTCAATGGTTCCCGGCCCTCAGGTTCCCTAGCTACCCCCACTTCAATCTCAGCCTCCTTTCTCCCACCTTCCTTGGGTAGCTGAATGGGTGGAAGTCCGGGCTTGGACTGCAGGGTCGGGAGAATGTGAGAGCATTTCTGCTTTAACATGAGCCTGGAAGAAGGGACACATCACACGTCTCCCATTGGTAACTGAAGAAAGATCTGGGTATGTGAGACAGGGTGGGTAGCTCTGGGTACAGGCTATTATAGGAAGGAACTCTGGAATCCCAAAGCAGAGAGACAGGGCGAAAAAGGATGGGGATAGGGAGACTTTCCCCATGTAGTCTTTGCGTATAGGAGGTCTTATCTGTATGGGTAAGTAGGCACCTGATTTACAGCAGGAGAATGTTCTGAATGAATGGCCCCAGTGACCCTCAGCAATCAGTCAGTCTCTCTCTCTCTCTCTCTCTCTCTCTCTCTCTTTTGAGTTTTGGAGGCAGGATTTCTCTGTATTGCTTTGGAGACTCCTGGAACTCACTCTGTAGACCAGGCTGTATTTGAACTCACAGAGATCTGCCTGCCTCTGCCTCTAGAGTGCTGGGATTAAAGGCGTGTGCCACCAACACCGGTCGAAGTCATTTCTATAGTTTCAAGAGAAAGGGTACATGTGAACTAGAGTACAGCACAGGCCTAATTGTGGCTCCCTCCATATCATCTTCCCTCCAGCTTGTCCAGGTGACTGAGCTCCACCCCTCTGCACAGACTGATCAAGACTCACTGGAGAAAGAGGCCTGGAGGTCCCAGTATGGGAATCAGAGGTCTCTAGCCAGCTTCATAGACGGGGAAGCAGCACGCTTGCTTTCCTCATCAATTACAGGGATAATTAAGAAAAAAGCCCCACCCAATATGGAGGCTGAAGACCACCATCCCTACTGATTCTCTGCCTTCTCCCCTGCCCTGCCCTCTGGGCCTTAGCTGGTCATGCAATGCTGAGCAGTAAGGAAGACTTGGGGTCAGCTTGTCTGGCTACAGGGCAAGAATTGTGGGCATCATGGGGGTGTGTGTGAGTGGGGCTCCAGGGTGAGACCTAGCCCCCGCCCCCAGGAGTTCAAGGGGGTGGGGGTGGGGCTGAGGATAGGATGGCTCGGGGTGGGCTGGGGGCAGAAGAGGCCTCCCTCCGCTCAAACGCATTGTCCTGGCTGGCTTGTGGGCTCCTGGCCCTGCTGGCCAATGCCTGGATCATCCTTAGCATTTCAGCCAAACAGCAGAAGCACAAGCCACTGGAGTTGCTGCTCTGCTTCCTGGCGGGTACACATATACTCATGGCGGCCGTGCCCCTGACCACGTTTGCTGTGGTGCAGCTAAGGCGCCAGGCTTCCTCTGACTATGACTGGAACGAGAGCATCTGCAAGGTCTTCGTGTCCACCTACTACACGCTGGCCCTGGCCACCTGCTTCACAGTTGCCTCGCTGTCCTACCATCGCATGTGGATGGTGCGCTGGCCCGTCAACTACCGCCTCAGCAACGCCAAGAAGCAGGCACTGCATGCGGTCATGGGCATCTGGATGGTCAGCTTCATCCTTTCCACGCTGCCCTCCATAGGCTGGCATAACAACGGCGAGCGCTACTACGCCCGAGGCTGCCAGTTCATAGTCTCCAAGATTGGCCTCGGCTTCGGCGTTTGCTTCAGCCTCTTGCTTCTTGGGGGCATTGTCATGGGGTTGGTCTGTGTGGCTATCACTTTCTATCAGACACTGTGGGCCCGGCCCCGGAGGGCTCGGCAGGCCCGGAAAGCTGGGGGCAGTGTGGGAGCCAAAGTGGGTGGGCTGGGGGGCTTGGGTACCCGGCCAGCTTTTGAGGTGCCGGCCATTGTGGTGGAGGACACTCGAGGGAAGCGGCGGTCCTCATTGGATGGCTCTGAATCTGCCAAGACATCTTTGCAGGTCACCAACTTGGTCAGCGCCATCGTCTTTCTCTACGACTCACTCACAGGGGTGCCCATCTTGGTGAGACTGAGGCCCTCAATCTGTTCTTAAGGCTCAGGTCCCTCCAGTTCTGTCAGCCGCGCAGAAGCTCCATCGTGTTTTCTTCATTGTCGTCCCCCCCATGTTTGTGGCTCCCCACCTCTGTCATCCATCTTCAAGTTCTCACTACTCAAATCTCCCAGCTCCATCAGCCACCAGCCTTCATTTCTATTTCTACTCTCCAGCTCCATCTTTCATCCTGCCCTTCCAAAGTTCAACCTGACGCCCGGCTGCCCTGAGGCGCTCTCTGGTCCCTGATTCCCTTTGGCGATCACAGTCATTGAGCCCTCCTGAGTAGAAACCCTGGGCTCACCCTATCACACCATCCAGGCCCCATTCCTGCCTTTCCCAGAGTCTTAAGTTTCTTACGGTCTCAATCCCCACCCCCTCCCCCCACCCCCGCTGCCACTTTCTTTCTCTGTCTGTACGTCTGTCTGTCTCTCCCACAACTCCAGGGTTTTGTCTACAGCATTTCCTGACTTTCCTCATTCAGTCCCTCCTTACTCCTCCTCCCTCCTCCCTTCCTCATGGCTTGCATTGGGAGTGGGCATCAGGCTTAGGTGGGGCCCCGGGCTCTCCCACCTGACCTGCCATTCCCTACCCCCTGCCAGGTGGTGAGCTTCTTCTCCTTGAAGTCCGACTCCGCCCCGCCGTGGATGGTGCTGGCTGTGCTGTGGTGCTCCATGGCACAGACGCTGCTCCTGCCCTCCTTCATCTGGTCCTGTGAGCGCTACCGTGCAGACGTGCGCACAGTGTGGGAGCAGTGTGTGGCTATCATGTCCGAGGATGACGGCGATGACGGTCAGAGGAGGGATGGGGACTTTGATTTCCTGGACAGCTACCTTCCCTTTTCTGTCCTTTCTACTGCCCTTCTCCTTGAGTGTGCTGCCCTGGGGCGCCCTCTGCTGGACTGAGCCAACTTCAGGCTCCGCATAGGCTGACCATGCACCCCGGTCAAGTCAGCCTTGTTTCCTTCTGCCCTGAGGGAGCTTTGCACTAGGCCTCGGCCCCTCTCTAGAAGCCTACACTGCCCAGCTCGGTCTGTGCCGAGCAGAGCTCTAGGGACAGGGTCTTCGGTCCTAATGCAAAGTGGCACTAAAGGGAAGCTAAGCTTCCTGAAGGAGAGCTCCTGCTCTTGAGACAGTTCTTGGAGAACAAGCAAAAAAGTCTGTGTATAGGACCAGGGACTCTGGGCCTGGAGCAAAGCTAGCCATTCCCTTGGTCCTCCTGGGGCTTACAGACTAATGGGAACCAAAAGTTCGAGGTGGGGGTCTCTGCCTATCACCCACCACTCCACTGTTTCTCTTATCACAGATGGGGCCTGCGATGACTACACAGATGGCCGTGTGTGCAAAATCCGTTTTGATGCTAATGGAGCCACAGGGTCCGGGGGTCGGGACCCCACCCAGGTGAAGCTGCTGCCCGGACGGCATATGCTGTTTCCGCCTCTTGAGAGAGTACACTATTTACAGGTATGGTGAAGGAGGGTCTCTCTGCATTCTGGCCCACTGCACCACTACTCCATGGCTTGGACTACAGGGCACCCTAGGCAGATGAAGGGAAGACAGGTGAAAGAGAGGTTCTCTCAGGTCTCTCAGAACCAGGTTTGCCTCCTAGAGTAAATGCTTTGGAGAAACAGAAAGCGAAGCCACCTTGCAGCCCCCCCCCCTTGCTTTCTGTACCCTCTGCCTTTGTCTCTGCAGCGCCTCCAGGTCTCACCCGCTCCTTTTCCCAGGTCCCTTTGTCCCGCCGACTGTCCCATGATGAGACCAACATCTTTTCTACTCCTCGGGCACCAGGCTCCTTCCTGCACAAATGGTCATCATCCGATGATATCCGGATCCTCCCGGCGCAGAGCCGAGCCCTTGGGGGCCCTCCTGAATACCTGGGACAGAGACACAGGCTGGAGGGCGAAGAGGAGGAGGAGGAGGCTGAAGGCGGGGGCTTAGCCAGCCTTCGCCAGTTTCTAGAAAGTGGGGTTCTGGGGTCAGGTGGGGGACCCCCAAGAGGTCCAGGTTTCTTCCGGGAGGAGATCACCACCTTCATCGATGAAACACCTTTACCTTCTCCAACTGCGTCACCAGGACCCTCTCCTCGTAGGCCCAGGCCACTGAGTTTTTCACCAAGACGCCTCTCCCTTGGGTCTCCTGATAGCCGAGCTGTTGGACTTCCTCTGGGGCTAAGTGCAGGGAGACGCTGTTCTCTGACAGGCAGCGAGGGAAGCTCAAGGGCTTGGGGAAGACCCTGGGGCCCAGGCAACCCCATCTTTCCCCAGCTGACCCTGTGAGGCCACGTGGGCCTGCTTAACTCAGAGGAGGGGGTGTGGGTGCGCACTCCTCGTTCTGGGCCCCGAGCCTACGGCAGCTGCCTCCAGGGAGATGGGCGCTAGATCTGAGTTCTAGAGCTCCAGCTCTCTCCCATCTAAGTGTCCAGACACCCTACTCACCCATCTTCACCCTAGCAAAACGTATTAAAGGCCGAAGTATTGCCATTGAACCTTGGTCTCCAGCGTCTGCGGTGGCAAAGGGTATGGTCGGTGGCTTGGGGGAGGAAGAGTGGCTCACAGAAGACAAGATGGAAAAGGACAGGGGAAAGAGGTATAAAAAGATCATCGACAGACAGGAGGTGTGGGCCTTGGGCATATGATGCTGGGGTGAGGCACTGGACACGTGAGTGTGTTAGTTTGAAATGGGAAGGATCTTTGTTCAGATTAATAGAAGTATTCAATCCTCACCTCCCCTGAATGCGTCCGTGCGCTCACTTTCTGGGTGACAAGTTTTAGGGCCAGAATTGGAGTCCCACGCTGCCTTCCAAAGATTCTTCCAACACGATGGGTTGGAAGCCTGGGTAGATACGTGTGTGAGGGGCGTCCACAATCCTTTCCAGGACCTCAGGCGTCCCAGCCCCCCCCCCATTTCACCCTCCCTTCTCCATTTCCCTTTCTTACCCACACTAGACCCAAATGTCCCTCCGAATTCTCACTCGGTCTCACTTTGGTTTTCCCTGCGGCAGACCTAAGCCCGGCACGCTTCTTTGGTTTCATTTACTCCTTCTCTCTTCCTCTCCCTCCTCCTCTCCATCTTTCCTTCCTTCTCCTCCCCCTACCCCCCTTCCTCCCTCCCCCTCTCCCTCCCTCCCGGCTTCGCATTTCCCTTCGGCAGTGGGCCGGCGGCTCTGGGCACCATGCTCCGGCTCCTGCGGTTGCTGCTGCTACTGCTGCTGCCTCCCCCAGGGTCCCCCGAGCCTTCCCAGCCCCCGGGCCTGGCCTCGTTGTCGCCGGGGGCGCCTCCCCAGGCCCCGGACTTGCTCTACGCGGACGGGCTGCGAGCCTACTCCGCTGGGGCATGGGCGCCCGCGGTGGCGCTGCTGCGAGAGGCGCTGCGGAGCCGGGAGGTGCTGGGCCGCACGCGGCGGGACTGCGGGGCAAGCTGTGCGGCCGAGCCCGACGCTGCGCTCCCCGCCCAGCTCCTCGGAGCCCCGCAGCCTGCCTCGGGGCCCCGGGCCTGGGAACCGCTGCTCCTGCGCGCCACGCTCCGCCGCGCCGAGTGCCTGACCCAGTGCGCAGCACGAAGGCTGGGCCCGGGGGGCGCAGCGCGATTCCGCATGGGGAGCGCGCTGCGGGATGTCTTCCGCCGACGGGAGCCTTACAACTACCTGCAGAGGGCCTACTACCAGGTGCGAGAGCCAGCGAGGGTGCTACCCCAAGCCTAGTGGCTGTCGTACTTGGAGCTGACCAGGAGAGGGCAGGATGCTCAGCGTCCGGATTCAGGGGTGGAGTCGTGGGGGGCGTATAACGGGCTTCTGCACTTGCGTGGGTACCCTCAAAATGTTGGTCAAGACTTGTGATGGCCGCAGAGGGAGGGCCAAAAAAGAGTGGGGGTCAAGCTGAAATTAAGAGGAGTAGACGTAGGTTGAACGTGGAGGGGGGGCTCCGCAGTGTTACTTTAGCGGGGCTCAGTGAGTGAATGCAGCCTCTTCCTAGGTATGAAAAGCAGATGGTGAGGGACCCAAAGCAGTCTCTCTCTCTCTCTCTCTCTCTCTCTCTCTCTCTCTCTCTCTCTCTCTCTCTCTCTCTCTCTCTCTCTCTGTGTGTGTGTGTGTGTGTGTGTGTGTGTGTGTGTGTGTGTTGTTAAGGAGTGGGAGTCTTGGGACAGGACGGAGCTTCGGAAAGGCTGAATGAGGGAGGCTAGGTTTGGAGGAGGAAGCATAGACGGGGTTGAAATCTGGGATGGTGGCAAGAGTCAGTGTGCAGCTCCCAGGACGGTAGCTAATGCCTACGTGGCTGGAGGAGGGAGGGGCTCTGTTTACACACACCTCAGCTCAGGGTCCTAAGGCCTGCAGATTCTAGTTACTCAAGGTCTCCCCTACAGCCCCGTCTATTTCAGCCATTCACTTTATTGTCTCCCAAACTGAGGCTCTGAGATCCTCTGCCCATGACTCATCCACTTCAAAGCTTTCGGGGCTCCTTCCTTCATGTACCAGAGTCCCGAGAGTTCCAATATTCTGGCTTCCAAGGGATTTGGTGGTTTCTGGTTGGGATAGTCCTGCTTGGTTAGGTTTCTGAAAGACTCTGGGGAGGCTGGTCCCCACCACACACCTCTGGACTCTGATAGCTCATCCGTTTGGCTCCTCAGTTGAAGAAATTGGACCTGGCAGCTTCTGCAGCACACACCTTCTTTGTGGCGAACCCAACACACTTGCAGATGCGGGAAGACATGGCTAAGTACAGAAGAATGTCTGGGATTCGACCCCAGAGCTTCCAGGACCTGGTGACGCCCCCGTATTGGGTGAGCTCCTCAATGCTGGCTGGCTGCTGCCAACTCTAGCCTTGTGCAGTTTGAGCATCAGGAGATCTGGGTACTGTTTGCCAGTGGCCCTGGGTGAAGAGTCTTTCCCTAGTACCTCGCTTCCTCTGTGGCCACTAAAGTATGTAGGGTTCCAACACTCTGATTCTGAGGCCACATTGCTCTTCCTCCAGGTGCCTGCAGCAAGACAGGGGTTTCATGCTCCAAATAAGCCCATTCCTTTTCCATCTTCCTTTTTTGTTTTTGTTTTGGTTTTTGAGACAGGGTTTCTGTGTTGCCCTGGCTGTGTTGAAACTCACTCTGTAGACCAGGCTGGCCTCCAACTCACAGAGATCTGCCTGCCTCTGCTTCCTGAGTGCTGGGATTAAAGGCCGTGCTACCACTGCCTGGACCATCTTCCTTTTGGAAACAGGGTCTCACCATGTAGCCCTGGGTGTCCTGGAACTCACTATGTCTACCAGGCTGGGCTCAAAGTCAATGAGACCCAATTGTCTCTGCCTCCTTTGTGCCAGGATTAAAAGCCCTTTGACCTCCCACTCTTGTCTGATCCCCCTACTCCCCCATCAACAATCTTGCTCCCTTTCCCCTCAGGCAGCCTATGACAGTGGCCTGGAGCTACTGGAGCAGCAGGACGTAGCACTGGCATTGGCCAAGCTAGAGGAGGCCCTCCAGGGGAGCCTGGCCCACGTGGAGAGCTGTCGAGCTGGCTGTGAGGGGCCTGAGGAACAGCAGCCGGCTGAAGAGGAGGAAGAGGAAGGGAGCCAGGGGGCGCTGTATGAAGCCATTGCAGGTGAGGAGCCGGACTGTGTGCGGTCCACGGAGCACGGAGAGCAGGGGAGGAAGATGACCCACAGCTCACTTGCCTTTTCCGCAGGACACTGGATCCGGGTTCTGCAGTGCCGGCAGCACTGTGTGGCAGATACAGCCACCCGTCCTGGTCGTAGCTTCCCTGTCCCCGACTTCATTCCCAGCCAGCTGAGACGGATGCATGAGGCCTATGCTCAGGGTCAGCTTGGGAAGGACAGAGCCTGGGAGTGAAGATGTGTCTCTGCTGCCACTCGGAACCCCATCTGTCCCTCCTTCTTCCCACCTGATTCTGCATTGATAGTTTCACTCTCAGGGGACCAACGCTTCGGGATGGTGTCCTTTGGGCACCATTGCGCAAAGCTCAGGAGATGATGGGTCCCTGGGCTCCTTCAGCCCTCATTGCTTCTCGCCTTCCTTTATTTCCTCCCCTCTTCCTCTCCTTTGAGCTCTGCTGTTGAAGGTACGTTTGAGGATACTTTGACAGAGGCACTAGGTGGGTGGGTCTCCCAGTTGGGCCAGGGCTTCTTGGAGTTGGTGGCCTTTCCAGGTGACCTTCAGCTTTCTTTGTTCTATCTTGTTTGTTACTGTCCCCTTCCCACCTTCTTCCATCTCCAGTGGGGAACTTGTCTAAGGCCATGGAAAATGTCCTGAGTGTCCTGCTCTTCTACCCTGAGGACGAGGCTGCCAAAAAGGCTCTGAACCAGTACCAAACTGAGTTGGGAGAGCCAAGACCCGGCCTGGGACCACGAGAGGTAACCCCTCGCCCATACTCACTGATAGGTAGGGCCTGGAGCAAGCCAAACACCCAAGAGTGGGCTGGATTCTGCACTCCATTCTGGCTTCTTTGTTTGTTTGCTTGCTTTTCTATTTGTTTATAATTGTCTGTTTGTTTGTCTTATTGTACACGTGTACTCCATCTATGTGCTCTCACAGCTCAGAAGGGAGCTTGGAGACCTGCTTGGCAGCACATGCCTTTAATCCCAGCAACTCGGAAGTTAGAAGCAGGCAGATCTCTATGAGTTTGAGGCCAGCTTGGTCTACAGAGTGAGTTCCAGGACAGCCGGGGCTGTGTAGAGAGACCCTGTCTCTAAACAAAGAAATAAGCACAAACAACAATAAAAGAGAGGGCATGGGATGGGCTGGAATGGAACCCCCCCCCGAAATGGAGTTAAGATGATTGTGAATCACTGTGTGGGTGCTGAGAACTAAACCCGGGTCCTATGCAAGATCAACAAATGCCCTTAACTACTGAGTCATCTCTCCAACCCAAATTTATTCATTTATTTATTTTTTGAGATGGGGTCTTGATGTATGCATAGCTCTGGCTTGCCTGGAGCTCTATATAGACCAGGTTGGCCTGGAGCTCACAGTGCTCTGCCTTCCTCTGTGTTCCGAGTGCTGAGATTTAAAATGTACAAGACCACGCACAGATTATTCTGGCTTCTTGCCCAAGCTCTTTAGCCACCAAAGGGTCACCCAGGTCTAGGTTCTGACCTCTGCCTCAGCTCCCTGCTCCCACACAGCAGACTGTATTTGCTTGGGAGTCTATCCCAGCACTATTCTTTTCCTTAAATCTTATATCTCTCAAGTCCTCTTATTTCGGGCCCAGACACTCAGAAAGGTGAGCCATTGCAGCATCAGGCTTGGTGATGGATCTCAAGAGCCTGCAAATGTCCCCTAGAACCCAGGCCTGCCCTGTTCTCCTCCTGCTTTCCCTTCCCTTCTCCTTACATCTCCAATGTCCTCTGTCTCTGCCCTCTCAGGACATCCAGCGCTTTATCCTTCGATCCCTCGGGGAGAAGAGACAGCTCTATTATGCCATGGAGCACCTGGGCACCAGCTTCAAGGACCCAGTAAGCAATTGTGCTCTCCTCTCCAGGGTGAGGCACTGTGATGCTGGGCACTCCCATGCCACTGCAGTCAGCAGGACTGTCCCACTTGCCCACAACCCTGCAGACTTATAGAACTCTGGCATCCCAGGCTCCCAGGGACCTGAACAGTGTGCCTACAGTTAAGACGGCCATGGGATCATGCATGGCTAAGAACCAGGCTCTCTGCCACATATATCCTCTGCTTACCTGTCTGCCTTTATCCCAGTTTCTTTACCTGTAAATTGTAAAGCCCACTCTTCCACAGTCCTGTTGTTGGAGCTATGCCATCTGGTCAGAGTACAGAAACTGTCATTGCTGCTCAATCCATTGCCCTCCTCTAGCTGTGAGGACAACGTCCAGTGCCAGCATTATGAAGCCAGGACTTAAATAGGCCAGCAGTTTTCAATTGACTTTCTGAGGACTTGGATGACTTAGTGATGACTGCTTGCCTAGCACACATAAATGCCTAGGGTCCTAGCTCCAGCACTGCAGAGAGAGAGAGAGAGAGAGAGAGAGAGAGAGAGAGAGAGAGAGAGAGAGGAGAAGGAAGGAAGGAAGGTAGATGTTTTGGGTTCAATAGTTCTTTATTGGAGGAGGGAATGGGGCTGTCCTGAGCATTGATGGGTCTTCAGCTGCAGCTGCTGCCCTGACCTTTTCCTAGTAGGGGTCAATAGTACACTGACAGCCCTTAAATCATGACATTGTTTCCAGACATTGTCTAATGTTCCTGGGGGGTCACATCACTCTCCTGAGAGCTGCTGTATAAAAGTGAAGGGCTGTAAAAGCTAGTTTCAGTCCTACTCTGCTACCTACAAGCTGTGTGGAGTCCACCCTACTATTTAACCTTCCTGTGTCTGAGAACCCTCAGCTGGAAGGTGAGCACATCACAACTCCCTGTTCCATTAGAATTTATGAATTATATGAAGTGTATATTTTTGGTTGTGAGCCTACCTTTAATGACCGAGACATCTCTCCAGCCCCTATATGAACTTTAAACCTCAAAACCTTACTGCAAATACAAAGCTTTTAGCACCTGGCAAAAAGTGTGATGGAAGTCATTGTGTACAGTCTGGTCTAGAACTCAAGGCTTTAGACTGCCATATGTGAGGTGTCCTGGAACTGGGTCCAGACTTTCCCACTCTGCCTTCATCTCTGGAGGCTGGAGGACCTTATTATGGACCTTCAGATTCTAAAGTCAGGAACCCCGGGAGCTAGACACAGAGGGTGATGGTGCTGTTCTTGACGGTCACAGGACTCTTGGACCCCATCAGCTCTCATCCCTGAGGCACTGAGAGAGAAGCTCAGGTAGGTTGTGGCCTGTGGTGGGGGCCATTTGGCCCAGGCGGGGAGGTGACAGAATGGGTCTGCACTGCCTACTGAATATGTCTCTCACCCCTGAGAGAGGATCAAGAGGCGAGGCCCTGGGACCATGAGCCTCCACAGCCGAAGTCCTTGCCCTACTGGAAGGGTGAGTTCTTCAGTACATGTGGAGCTGGGGGCAAGAGCTGGGAGTAGGGGGTAGAAAGGCAGGGTGGGGGAAGGTCAGGTGGCAGAAGGGAGGGCCTGGAATCTGCCAGCTGCTGCCTTCAAGTGAGCCCCAGTGACCTCTGATCTGTTCTTTCCCTTGCAGATGTCCTTCTCCTGGAGGGTGTGACGCTCACCCAGGATGCCCAGCAGCTGAATGGATCAGAGCGAGCCGTGCTGGATGGACTGCTAACTCCAGCTGAGTGTGGGGTTCTACTACAGCTGGCCAAGGTATGGCAGTGTGTGGTTCAGTGGCCTGGTTAGAAGGTATGGCGGTGTGTGGTTCAGTGGCCTGGTTAGAAGGTATGGCGGTGTGTGGTTCAGTGGCCTGGTTAGAAGGTATGGCGGTGTGTGGTTCAGTGGCCTGGTTAGAAGGTATGGCGGTGTGTGGTTCAGTGGCCTGGTTAGAAGGTATGGCGGTGTGTGGTTCAGTGGCCTGGTTAGAAGGTATGGCGGTGTGTGGTTCAGTGGCCTGGTTAGAAGGTATGGCGGTGTGTGGTTCAGTGGCCTGGTTAGAAGGTATGGCGGTGTGTGGTTCAGTGGCCTGGTTAGAAGGTATGGCGGTGTGTGGTTCAGTGGCCTGGTTAGAAGGTATGGCGGTGTGTGGTTCAGTGGCCTGGTTAGGGACCCTCGGGGTCAGCCACCTGCTCCTCCTCTTGGCCTGTACCACCCAGTGTTCTGGCTGCCTCATCTCTCTCTCTCTCTCTTTTACAGATTTATTTATTGTTCTGTGCACTGGTGTTTTGCCTGCATGTATGTCTGGGTGAGAATGTCAGATTCCCTGGGGCTGGGGTTACAGACAGCTGTACTGCCATGTAGGTACTGGGACTTGAACCCAGGTTCCCTGGAAGGGCAGCCAGTGCTGTTAACCACTGAGCCATCTCTCCAACCCTATCAAGTATCTTTTAATGTCTGTGTTTTATCTCAACTGTGAGAAGCTCTTTTTTCTTTTTATTATTTATTTGCATAAACATGATGGGTTTATTCATGATACACTCTTCATATTATCTCATTTGAAATTAATAGCTAACAAAGTCTATTTTAAACTATACTGATAATGTGGAAACAGGCATAGCAAGAAACAAAGACTCCTCTGATTTTAGATATTGTCTTACTATGGAGTTGTCCTTTTGACATTTTTAGTGTCATTTCTGGGTGAAACAGGTGTCCTCTTCTGGTGTCATTCAATAATCCTTTTGCCCCAATTTTGTTCTGATGGTGTCTCTCCTGAGTACAGTGTCTATAGAAGAGGCTTTAAAATGGTCCCCTTTAGCTGGGCAGTGGTGATGCGCGCCTTTAATCCCAGCAACACAGGAGGCAGAGGCAGGCAGATCTCTGTAAATTCAAGGCCAGCCTGGTCTACAAAGTGAGTTCTAGGACAGCCAGGGCTATTATACAGAGAAACCCTGTCTCAAACAAACAAACGAATTAAAACAAAAACAAAAAGCCCAAACCAAACACAGTTCCCTTCTGTAGCTGGCGTGTCTCTGTGTCCCAGCAGCCGCTCCCAAATAACTACAGTGAGAGTTATTATTGATTATAAATGCTTGGCCGATAGCTCAGGCTTGTTACTAGCCAACCCTTACATTTTAAATCAACCCATATTTCTTATCGACCCTCTGCCATGTGGTGGTGCCTCTTTTCAACATGGCACATTCATCTTGCTTCCTTCTGTGTCTGATCAAGAGTCCACAGACTCCCAGCCTTTTTCCCAGAGCCCTCCTAGTCTGGCTCTCTCAGTCTCTTCCTGCCCAGCTATAGGCCAGTCAGCTCTTTATGAACCAATAAGAGTAATAATATCTACAGTTGCTCCACAGTACCCTCCCTTCCTTATTTTGAGACAGGGTCTCTTTATGTAGACCCGGCTGGATTAAAGGTGTACACTACCACACCTGGCCTCCCTTCTCGATTCCTTATTTGTAGTCTCCTTGAGCACTTTCTCAGAGCAATAGCCACAGAGGACATGTTTCTGCTTCAGGTGACCGCATTCGGGGCAAATGTCTAAATTGTTTTTAACTGAGTAAGGTAGTAGGGCCTCTTCTCCTACACCTGCTATCTTCAATCCCACATCTGTTGGGAGCTGCCAGGCAAAAGGTTATCTAAGAGGCTGGGGCTTTTTATTCCCATGGGTATCGCTTATTAGTTCTGTGAGTATGGATGAACCCTGAATCACTAATGCTCCCAGAGGACTGCAGCAGCTTCCAGAGCTCCCAAAATGATCCAGGGTTCACAGCCCCAGAAATGCAGTGCAGGCACCATATTCCTCTACTTGTTTTCCCTCCTAATCTATCTGGTACGGATGGGGTGGGCGCTCTCATTTGACACAGGGTGTTGCTATGTTGCCCAGGCTGGCCTTAAATTCAGGATCCTCCTATCTGTTCCTCTCCTAAACCTCAAGTGCTGGGACGACAAGCCTTGCAGATGCTTGCCATCACATCTGGTCAGGGTGGATGTGCTTTACAAAGAGTAGGAAGAAAAGACAAAATGGAAGAGCACAGACATGGGTGTATATACACAGGAGCTTCCTTGGTTACCTGAGGATTCAGATGGCATCCAGGCTTCCCTGACTGGCCCTTTCATCCGCTCCTAGTTTATGCTGAGTGACCCATGCTCACATGTTGAGGCTGCCATCTCATGCTGCCCCAGACGAGGACTCACTCATTCTGTACTCGTGGATTACCTGCTATGGACTAGAAATGGTTAGATTCTAGGGGATGTAAATAAGCAAAGACTGTCCTTTAGAGTCATGTATAAGGAGAGAAACAACATGGAGACATAATTAGAGCAGCTGGTGAGTTCTGTTATGAAGTGTGTACTATCTAAACAGAAACACTGACAATGAATGCCAAGTCCTAGGCAGTTTACCAGGGATGATATTCCAGCTCAGTCCCATGCCAGTGGTTTGCTGTGCTGGGGGGAGGGGAGGCAGAGTCATCAAACCCAGGGTATTGCACACACTAGGCAAGCACTTTGCCACACCCTCAGCTCCTTATGCTAGCCTTACCCATTTGTTGTCCTAGCTACTGGGAAGGGTTAGACAGTAAGTAGGATTGCTTGGGCTCCACAGTTTGAAGCAGCCAGGCATTGGTGGTTCAAGCCTTTACTCCCAGCACTTGGGAGGCAGAGGCAGGTGGATCTCTATGAGTTTGAGGCCAGCCTGGTCTACAGAGCGACTTCCAGGACAGTCTCCAAAACAATACAGAGAAAACCTGTCTCAAAAAACCAAGAGAGAGAGAGAGACCTACCCCATCCCATAGGAGAGAGAGAAAGCAGAGAATGGAGAAGACAAAAGAGGAAGAAGGAGGGGCTAGAGAGAGGGCTATATGACATGATGAGGAGCTCTTCCAGAGGACCAGGGTTCGATTCCTACCCCATGGCAGCTCACAATCATCTGTAACTACAGTTTCCAAACCTACATATAGGCAAAACACCCATACACATAAAAGAGGATAATAAAAACTTAAAAAGAAAAGGGGGGGGGAGAAGAAAGTGCTTTCTAGGAACTGCAGGAAAACATGGCTTAAAGGGAGGACCAGATCCAGTGGTTACCTGTCTCTGTAGATGTCTGTGAGCGAGTTTCCCATCTCTAAAGTGGGGTTTATCATGTTTCTTGGTGTTGTCCTGAGGCTTAGTTTAGTACATTGTGAAGCCTTTAGGAGAAAGAAGAAAGTGCTCAGGAGGTGGAGTTGCTGCCATTTTGCTGTCTATTATAAAGAGATGTTATAGGAGAGGAGAGGGCCTAGAGAGATGGCGAGAGGGCTTTGTGTCCCCCCCCCCTCCCCCAGAGAGCCTCAGCTTTATTGGTAGAGGGTGGACAGTTGCTGGTGGACAATCCAAGCTCCGCATCCTATAGACTCAGGAGCCCCCTCTAGTGGCAGTTTAGAAGACAATCGTAGAGAAGCTTGTGGAGTATTAGCATTAAGGCCTTAGGTTCTGGTTGTATTTGAGGGGATGAGGGGATGAAAAGAGGGGAACAGATGAAAGAGACAAGGTACACTAAGGAATAACAGTTAGGAAAGCTAAGGACTAAGTCTTCAGAGGATAATGAGAGGACAACACCAAGAATGATCTCAAGACATCTTTCCGTTTCTTCACTCAGTCTGGCCTCAGGGTCTTTGCATTGATTTCCATTTCATATATTCAAGTGGCATCTCTACAGCATTTGGTTTCAATTTAGATGTCACCCCTTTAAGCAACTGTGGATGAACATTCATAAAATTACAACCCTGCTTTTTTGTTTGTTCGTTTTTGTTTTGTTTGTTTGGTTGGTTTTGGTTTTTTTGTAACAGGGTTTCTCTGTGTGGCTTTGGAGCCTATCCTGGCACTTGCTCTGTAGACCAGGCTGGCCTTGAACTCATAGAGATCCTCCTGCCTCTGCCTCCTGAGTACTGGGATTAAAAGCAAGCGCCACTACCGCCTGTTTTAATTTTCTTCATATCACTTAATCACCATCTGAATTGGCTTTTCTATTTCTTTTTTATCTTAAAACATAAATCCTGGGGCTGGGGAGATGACTCAGTGGTTAAGAGCACTGATTGCTCTTCCAGAGGACCTGGGTTCAATTCTCAGCACCCACATGGCAGCTCACAACTGTCTGTAATTCAAATTCCAGGAGATCCAACACCTTCATACAGACATATATGCAGGCAGAAACATGAATGCACATGAGATAAAAATAAATGATAAAAAACATAAATCCTTGGGGCTGGGGAGGTAGCTGCCCTGGGTTTGATCTCTAGCACCTCATGAACCAGGTGTGGTGGCACAGGTCTGTAATCAGCACTTAGGAGGCTGAGGCAGGAGGATCAGGAATTTAAATTAATCCTCAGGTACATATCAAGTTTAAGGCCAACCTGGGCTACGCTAGACACATCTCAAAAAGCTAACAGTCAGTGTATATAAACAGATAGTTGGTGTATAACCAACTCTGTGGTGGAGACTGCCTAGCACAGGTTAGCCCCCCTAGGTTTGATCCCAGCACTGTAAAAGGACACCAAGGAGGAGGAGCTGATGCTGATGGCTTGTGTGACCAGGTGGATTCTCAGGGGTGAGGTTTAAATGTAGGGGTCGCTAGGGAATGGCACTTACACAGATTCAACAAGCTGGCTCGAAAATGAAAGTCTACAGGGCATGGTGTTCCATTCACTCCTATGATCCCAGCACTTGGGAAGTTGAGGCAGGAAGACTCTTGCAAACTTGAGAGCATACTAGGCTACATATTGCTTTCCAGGCCAAGCTTGGCTATAGAATGATACCCTGTCTCAAAAGAAAAAAAAAAATCCCATATACAGACATCCAAACATGGAGTCATGGGAGGCAGTTGGGTAATGGGATCCACCATCAGAGGCAGTAGAATCATGGAGCCCATAGCTTCTCCAAAAACATCAGTGGGAGGAGATCGGTGTTGTGTTGACACCTCAAACTTCCCGCCAGACTGGCATGTCAGACTTCCTGTTAGGGTCCTGCTTACAGAAAGACTCCTGTCTCCGTGTTGAAGGGTGACCCAATACTTCCCACCCCAGACCCTGGCTCTGGCTCTTCTTCAACAGCTCTCACCAGACCATCTTAAGGTCCCTTCTCCCCCTCTTGGAAAAGGCCATACATAGCTCAGGAGAAAAAGGATTTTTCAAGGGAATTCTGGGAGTTCCTAGGCAGCCCCAGGGACTGAGAAGGCCGGAAGGAGAGCCTGGTAGCTGTGTGGCAGTGAGGTTTGCTCTTCTCATTTAGGATGCAGCTGAGGCTGGAGCCAGGTCTGGCTACCGTGGTCGCCGATCCCCTCATAGCCCTCATGAACGCTTTGAGGGCCTCACAGTACTCAAGGCTGCCCAGGTAAGAGGAGGCACCATGGCCTGGTCTGATGCCCAAGACTTGAGAAGAGGGGCTGTGTCAGGAGGCTGCGTACCAGGGCCTGGGCTCAGTGGAGGACCTAGATCACTGCATTCTTGGTCCATCATTGACAAAGGGTGTATTCTGAGACCTGGGGCCCTGCTGTTGTCATGGAGATGCCAGGAGGCATTTAGGCTGCTGGACAGATGGTAGACCCACATAGGAGGGCAGTGCCAGAGACACAGGCTAATGCCAGACCAACCTTCCACGCCGCTCTCCCTGCCTGCAGCTGGCTCGGGCTGGGACTGTGGGCAGGCCAGGTGCTAAATTGCTTCTGGAGGTGAGTGAGCGAGTACGGACCTTGACCCAGGCTTACTTCTCCCCGGAACGGCCGCTGCATCTTTCCTTCACCCACCTGGTGTGTCGAAGTGCCATAGAAGGTAACCATGAGGGAACCCCATCTCTATGGGTTCCATCTTCACTGCAAAAAGTCCCCTGCTGCCCTAACTGGAGACAGGGAGTTTCTCGGCTTATTTGTCACCCCAGGAGCTGGGCATGGGCCCACCAGGGGGCCCTTGGTGGGGACCCTGATTTATGTCCAATTTATTCACGAGATCCATTTACGTCCTAGGTGAGCAAGAGCAACGCATGGACCTGAGTCACCCAGTACATGCAGACAACTGTGTCCTGGACCCTGACACTGGTGAATGCTGGCGGGAGCCCCCAGCCTACACCTATCGAGACTACAGGTGGGCAGCCTCTCTGGGGACTGGCAGGCAGGCACACAAGGCCCAAAGGTGGCGGAGGTCTCACTGCCCTGTGTCTTCTCTGCTTTCCAGTGGGCTCCTCTACCTCAATGATGACTTCAAGGGAGGTGACCTGTTCTTCACACAGCCCAACGCCCTCACTGTCACGGTAGGGGGCTGGGCATAGGGCCCAGCTGTGGGGTCAGGTTCATTCAAAACAGAAGCTCTCCAGAGTCAAATGCAGGGAAATGGCTGGGGCCGCCTTGACCCTGCCCCTCCCGCCTCTCTAGTCCTGCTGGCCACTGGACCGCATTCAAGGCTCTCTGCCGAGGTTGATTGGGCCTCATAGGAGATCTCTAAGTGGTCCCCACCCTGCCTTCATGGTTTGCCTGCCTTACCTCCTAAGGGTGGCTGAACATAGCTAGGTCCACGATAGACACTTGTCGCCTCAGCTGTTGAGGAAGTTAACATGATCACTTAAACCCAGGAGTTCAAGCTCAACCTGGACAATGTATCAAGATACCTTCTGAAAGAAAACATGGACCAGTGAGGTCTCATAGTGGGTAAAGGTACTTACCCCTAAGCCTGACGACTTGAGTCTGGTCTCCGGAACTGACACGGTGGAAGGAGAGAACCAGTTTCCACAAGTTGCCCTCTGACCCCGCCCCCATGCTGCACCATGCACCTACCTCCAATAAAAGTAATAGAAACTTAGAAGAAAAACAGAGGGGATGCAGAGCTGGCTCAATGGTTAAGAGCACCGGGCTGCTCTTCCAGAGGTCCTGAGTTCAGTTCCCAGCAACCACATGGTGGCTCACCACCACCTCTGATTCCAGTTTTAGGGATCTAACACCCTCTCTGGTCTCCATAGGCACCGGGAACATATGTGGTACAGACATGCATGGAGACAAAACATGCACATAAAGTACAGTAATACATTTAAAAATAAAACAAGGATATGAGTGAAGAACAGCCTGTAGGGGTCCCACAGAGCCCTGTGTCCCTATTCTAGGGGTCTGAGGGTCCTCCATGGCTGGGCAGCAATGGTGTTAGCACAGGCTAACATGGGCACAGACAACACTACTGGACTAGAGTTCAAATGGGGTTCTTAACACTTTTGAAACTCTTTCCTAACTAAGGGTGATAGCAATAGTAACTATTATTTTGGTATTATTATTATAGACAGGGTCTTGCTACATAGCCCAGATTAGCCTTGAATTGACTATGTAGCTATCCCTGGCTGTTCTTGAACACACAGCAATCCTGCCGTGACCTTCTGGGTGCTGAGATTATAGACATGCACTACCCCAAGTGGCTGACTTTGGTTTTTGGAGATAAGGTCTCATTATGTAGCCCTGGCTGACCTAGAACTCACATGTAGACCAGGCTGGTCTTGAACCACAGAGATCTGCCTGTTTCAACCTCTCAAGTCCTGGGATTAAAGGTGTGTACCACCTTGCCTGGCTTTGCACACACATACTGTGTGTGCTGCACATGTGTAGATCAGAGCACAGCTACAAGTGTCATCCTCGCCTCTTGTCTCTCACATCTGGGCATGGGAGTGTTGGGATGACACACCCAAGCGATTTCATATAGCTTTTATGTGGATGTGGGGGATCTGAACTCGGTTATACTTGCATAGCAAGCATTTTACCCACTAATCCATGTTCCCAGCACTACAATAAGTCATTTCTAAAACAATATTTATTCATGTATGCATCTGTGTGTGCATGTGCAAGGGGTGGGGGTAGGGGAGGGGGCATGCTGCACACAGCTGCATGTAGCGAGCACAGGACAACTTGTAGGAGTTGCTTCTCCCCCTCCACCATGTGCTCCTGGGATTGAATTTAGGTTGTTGGGCTTGGTGGCAAGCACCTTTACCCCCTGAGCCATCTCTCTGACCCTATAAAAAGTCATTTATATAATATGCTTAAAAGAATGGGCAGTGGTGGTGCATGCTTTTAACCCAGCACTTGGGAGGCAGAGGCAGGTGGATCTCTGTGAGTTTGCGGCCAGCCTGGTCTACAAAGCTACACAGAGAAACCCTGTCTCGAAAAGCAAACAAAAAACCGAAACAAACAAAAACAGAAAGCCGGGCAGTGGTGGCATACACTTTAATCTCAGCACTCAGGAAGCAGAGGCAGGTGGATCTCAGCGAGTTTAAGGCCAGCTTGGTCTGTGAAATGAGTTCCAAGACAGTCAGGGCTGCTACACAGAGAAACCCTCTCTTGAAAAACTAAAAAGAAAGAAAGAAAGAAAGAAAAGTTCAGTGCCTCGTGTTAATAAACAATGAATGAATGTTAGGTGTTGTTATTCTTCTATTCCTTGATCATGTAGCCTTCTATACCTGGGCCTAGAAATGGGCAGGAAGAGGAGCAGGCATGGTAATATACACCTGTAATCCTACCATTGGGGAAGTTGAGGCAGGGGTTCCAGGCCGGCCTGTGTTTCACAGAGGCACTCTGCCTTACTCTTCACCCTAAAGGCATCAACAGAGGAGCAATTGCCTTCTATGTACTCATGTCCAGTCTGGGATTCCCTTAGGGTAGAAATGCATCTAAGGTCCTTGCCACCTTCCATCCCATCCGGTGCTGCTCTAAGGCCCTCGGATTACTTCATTCCAAGCTCCTGGGGTCAGGCACAAAAGGTCAGGCTGCAGGACAGGGAACTCCCAGGAGGCACCTGCCCTCTTTGGCTTCCATCTCCTCCAGCCTCAGTTTTGCACTCTCCCTTCCTAAGTCAAGGCCAGTCTCTCATTGCCCCAAGCTAGCCCCTGAATGAGGGAGAGGGGTAATACACAAGAAGTCTGATGCCGCGTTGTCCCCCACCCCTCAGGCTCAGGTGCGTCCTCGCTGTGGGCGCCTCGTGGCCTTCAGCTCTGGTGGTGAGAATCCCCATGGCGTATGGGCTGTGACGCGGGGACGGCGCTGTGCCTTAGCGCTGTGGCACACATGGGCACCTGAGCACAGGGAGCTGGTAAGGAGGTGTAGGGGTAGGAAGATGTGAAGGGGTGGGTGGGTGGGAGCTTGTGCAGGGGTGAGACTCACAGTGTAGCTGTGATGTAGCTGGGTGGCTGAGATGCTCAGGAAAGGTAGATGCAAAGGACTGAACTATAGTTGTATCCCCTTCCAGGAGTGGGCAGAAGCCAAAGAGTTGCTGCAGGAGGAAGAGGAGGAGGAAGAGGAAGAGGAGGAAGAGGTCCTCAGCAGAGATCCTTCCCCAGAACCCCCAAGTCACAAGCTTCAGCGGGTCCAAGACAAAGCTGGGAGGCTACTCCGGGTCCGAGAGGAACTGTGACTGGCTGAGCCAGCTTCTTAGGGATATGGCCACTCATCTTGTGAAGGAATCAATGAGAAGGCCCTGTGTGACAGCAGAACCAGAATGGCATGCCCATTTTGGGGACCTACAAGGGCTACCAAGCCCTAGACTCAAGCTTACTACACAGATTTAGCCTAGGGCCCACCAGGCCTGAAAGCTAGGTCTGGCCCCAGCTGAGGGGCCTGCAGGGTCCCTAGGACAGACAAAGGTCATTATGCCTCCCTGAAAGGCATGGCAAGGATTGAAGGCTAATTGCTTCTAATAAGGAAGACACAGTGGAGACCATCCCATCCTCTCCTAACCTTTGTAATAAAGAACATGAAGATCCCCAGCCGGGGCCTGGTCTGGTATATCCTAGCTTCTCTGACCGCTGGAGGTGGGGGTGGCTAGGGCTGGTGTGTGAGGGGACAGGTGGTGTCTTTGGGCCTCCCAGAGGCGGAGCCATGAGAGCCTGTGATTTGTCAGGGAAATCTCAGCCACCTGCTGCCTCATGCAAATAGACCCTTGTGCCCCATCACCACCACCACAGCTGCCCCTTGGGCCTCCTCCTAAGCCCTGTCATCTCTCCCTGAGTGTGGGTGAGAGGGTAGCCCGATCCCTCTGGCTCCTACCTTCACAGTCCAGTAAGACCCCAGGAGTCATGTGGGTATGTGAGCAGTCGTGAAAGCAGACCCCCAGCCTAGGAGCAGGATACAGGGCTCCATTCTCTCTGTAGTCCTTTCTTTGCCCACAGGGCTGCAGGGGGACATCCGCCCAGCCTCCCCTGGATCCCCTGTTGACTCCCCCAGCTAGGATCAAGCCCAGGGGCAGCTGGTTGGGGCTTGTCGAGAAAAAGGATTATCCAGATCAGCCCCTTCTAATCTCAGCGTCTGCCTGTCCCCTCTTCCCCCACAGACCTCCATGAGGGAACACAGTTTGGGGTGTTGACAACAGGGTCATCTATCACCCATCTGTCTGGGCTCCTGGCCTGTTTGCTGAACAGACCTGCACTGCCAAGATCATGAGCACAAGTTAGGGCTAGGGCTGGGGGCCACAGGCACTGTGGCTGCTCTTGTCTCTTGCTCTGTGCTGCGTCCCAAACCCAACCACTAATCCTCACAGCTTTTCTCTGATCCGTGGGCCTGATGCTCTTATCTCTGCCAGCAGACTGACCATGGAGGCACCCCTTTATTCCCCCTTCTTGTGGCTGGATGTTGGGGGGGTTCTGCTCTTCTCTGGCTCACAGACCTGCTCCCCACCCCTTAGGCTGGCCCAAGTCTCTGGAAGCCACACACCTCTCCCTGGCCTCTCCCCAACCCCTGCCAGCTGATTTCATTTGCCTGACGTGGTTGTCTCTGGCCTTACCCTTCCCTGTCAGTTCCCCCCCTCCCAGTCGGGGCCAGGCCAGGCCAGCTCCTCTGGCAGCAGAGGGGGGCAGGTGACAGGCAGGCATCGCAGCTGAGAGAGTCAAGAGGCGCCTGGGAAGCGGAAACCTGGGAGAAATCCAGCCAGAGCCCAAGTAAGAGGGAGCTGGCCGGCTCTACCCTCTGGGATTGGGGGCCCACAGGGAAGGCTCAGGCAGTCCAGGGATTGATGCACAGGACCTAGACCAGGAGGAGGGGGAGCCCCCCATCACTTCTCAGGAATAGGGTAGGATGTAAAGGACAGAAGCATGGTCTGATGGGGACTCCCCAACACCTACTCCATGTTCCTGGCAGGAGAGCCACCGCTATCCCTGACTTGTGCACCATGGGGGAGATGGAGCAGCTGAGGCAGGAAGCGGAGCAGCTCAAGAAGCAGATCGCTGTAACCCAGAGCCCTCACCCTGGGGACCCTGGGAAGCAGAACTCAAGACCTGTGGGAGCATGGCCTGGGAGGGACTGGGGGATTGGGTTCACTCTTGGGTGACAACTTTAGACCTCTGATCTAGACAGATTCAGAGACTTTAAACTTGGACCTCACATTTGAGACCACCCACTCAGCTGCAGAACCCCATACCCACCCATGTGTGAGATGCATGTGCGTGCCCTCTACCCTACCACAGCCCTCCTGATGCCTGCTTTCCCTGCAGGATGCCAGGAAAGCCTGTGCGGACATCACCCTGGCTGAGGTGAGACTTTCTACCCCTCTGAGGCAGGACATGAGGGGAAGGGAGGGGACTGAATGGGCATTTCATGACCAGTAACATACTGCTGCCTGAGCTTTTAGCACATCCTGTCCTTGAAGCGAGGAAAGACATTCGTGAATTAATTCAACAAACATCTATTAAGATCTGCTCTGGAGCAGGCATTATATTGGATGCTGAGAATGTAGACACTGGTCCTGTCTCCTTCATCCTTAGCAGTAAGGATGGGGGGGAATGTGCATGATTTCTCATAGACGTGAGTTGACAGTCTAAGGCTGCATTTCATCGATTCTAAAATGCTTGCTTTTTCACAGATTTCTCTAAAATCAAGATGCATCTGACAATACATAATACCTTGTTAGCCTATTGTTTCTTTCTTGGCAATACACAAAATATTGTTTCTTGGAACTGACAATATAGACCAAGTCATATCAGGTGGCACAGGCTTGGACTCCAGCTACATGGAAGGCTAAGCAGGTTTGAAAATACAAGACATGCCTGGGCTGCAGAGTGGTTTTAAGATTAGCCGGTCTCAAAATAAAAAGTAAAAAGTTGAACTAGGAAAAAATTTTAAAAAGAAGACATGAAGTTGGGTGGGGGTAGAAAGTGAAGGGTGGATCTGAGAGGAGCTAGAAGTAGGGGTGAATATGATCAAAATGCATTGCATGCATTATGAAATTAGAAAATAGTTAATAGAAAATTTATATTTAAAAAGTTAGAAGGGCCAGGGATATTTTTCAGTGTAGACTTCCTGAGGCCCTAGGTTCAATCTCCATACTAAGGGGAAAAATAATATAGAATCGATTGTATTAAATATGTTCATTCATAAGAGCATGAAAAAGACATGGAGCTAGAGGCTTAAATACATAAATCTATATGATTCCCATGACAACTCTGTAAGGTAATAGGCTCAGGGAAAGGTGTGATTTCCTGAAGTATGACAGACCAAGTCTATGGACTCTGGAGGCCTAGCAGCTGGGAGGCTGGTTGTGGCTAAAGGAGTGGAGGACTGGATTTCAGCAGGGGCAGTCCTAGGTGATGGCAACGCCTTGGAACCCACGGGTCAGTTGTGTGCTACTGGTTTGTGAGGACAAGCATCTGCCAGTCTGATACCACCTGTGTGTTTCTCCCCAAGTTAATGTTCAGTGACCTCAAACCAGCAACTTGAGATCCACCAAGATAGAAATATCTCCATGGTAGCGACTCCTCCTCAGTCTGGAGACACTGGGCTACACCCTTATCTTTACTGTTTAGCAGCCTGCCACAAGCTATCCTAGCACCTGTCTATTACAGGAGGCCCAGTCCCTCTAGGCTGGGGACTCTTTCTCGAGTGTTGGGGAACCTGCTCAAATGTCTGGTCCCCAGCAGGAGCTTGCAGAGTAACAGCTGTGGCAGACATGTGAAACCCAATACTCTTTTCTCTGCAGCTTGTGTCTGGCCTAGAGGTAGTGGGACGAGTCCAGATGCGGACGCGGAGGACATTAAGGGGACACCTGGCCAAGATCTATGCCATGCACTGGGCCACTGACTCTAAGTGAGGATCCAGAGGGGTCTCAAAGGGAGGGGAGGCAGGGGAAAGAGGTATAGATGTCACAGGTGCCCTTTCTCTAGGCTGCTGGTAAGTGCCTCACAGGATGGGAAGCTGATCGTCTGGGACACTTACACCACTAACAAGGTACCAGCCCTTTCTACTGACCATCCTCCAGGAAGGACCCTTCATCCTTCCTAGGGTTGTCATGCTGAATCTCTCTCCTGTTCAAATGAAGCTCGGGTCCCACCCCAAATCCACCCTCTCTGCAGGTGCATGCTATTCCGCTGCGTTCCTCTTGGGTCATGACCTGTGCCTATGCACCATCAGGGAATTTTGTGGCATGTGGGGGGCTGGACAACATGTGCTCCATCTACAGCCTCAAATCCCGTGAGGGCAATGTTAAGGTCAGCCGGGAACTCTCTGCTCATACAGGTGAGAAGCCCTCCTTTCCTATGTAAGGGTCATGAAGTCCAGGCCCCTGGCCAGTCGTGACCCTGAGCCAGGACACTGTCCTTCTAACCACCTTCAGGTTATCTCTCCTGTTGCCGTTTCCTGGATGACAACAACATTGTGACCAGCTCTGGGGACACCACGTGGTAAGGGTTCAATGTCATGGGTGCTGAGGATTGGAAGGTCATTCTGTCCTGTGCAACTGTGACATTTCTCTGTGATGGGCTCCTTTTCTCCTTGCAGTGCCTTGTGGGACATTGAGACGGGGCAGCAGAAGACAGTGTTTGTGGGACACACTGGTGACTGCATGAGCCTGGCTGTGTCTCCAGACTACAAACTCTTCATTTCGGGGGCTTGTGATGCCAGCGCAAAGCTCTGGGATGTGAGGGAAGGAACCTGCCGCCAGACCTTCACTGGCCATGAATCAGACATCAATGCTATCTGTGTGAGTGTCCCTTCAGGAACTACCTTAAACCCCAATACACCTCTGTCTCACTTCCATACCACCCCTAAGCCCTTTCCTTACGATTTTCAAAAAATAATCTTACCTGTAAAGGATAATTTCAAAGCCAATGACAAGAAATGCCATGTCTGCTTCACACACATCACTGTTAACGTTTTGCCACATTTGGTTTACTGTCTAGACACACTGAACACACTCACTCACACTTGGATCCTCACCTCTGTTCTCTGTGTCTGGTGGAGGTTCAACTCAGAGCTTTTCACATGCAAGACAAGTGCCCTACCAGTAAGCTACATCCTAGATTCTCACTCCTGGATCCTGAGAGTAGATTATATATATCATGGCTCTGTGCCCCTTAAATACTGTTTGGAGGGCACAAGAGGGAGTTGGATTCCCTGGAACTGTTGGAGTCACAGTTATGAGCTGTCATAGATTTGAGTGCTGGGACCTAACTGAACTTGGGTCCTCTGCAACAACAAATGCTCTTAGCTGCTAAACCCTCTTTCCAGCCCTAAATCAGGGGGGAAAAAAAAACACCTACAACAAGGTCTCACTATATAGCTCTAGTTGGATTGGAATTTGCTATGTAGATCAGGCTGGCCTCACACTTAAGAGATCTGTCAGCCTCAACCTCCCAAGTGCTGGGATTAAAGGTGTGTGCCACCATGCCATGTCCAATTTTTAGTATTTTTAAAAATTTTCAGTGTATGTGATGCATGTGCTGGGTTAGTCTGTTCTCTCTCTACTGTGGGTTCTGGGGATCAACCTCAGGTCACCAGGCTTGTGTCCCAAGTCCTCTTACCCAGAGTCATCTGCCCATCCCCAATTGTTACAAATAACTCTATTACTTTGTTTTCTATACTTCCTCTGCTTTGTTTTTGAAGATAGGTTTCCCTGTGTAGCTCTGGCTGTCCTGGAACTCACTCTGTAGACCAGACTGGCCTCGAACTCACAGAGATCCTCCTGCCTCTGCTTTCCTGAATCCCGGGATTGAAGGTGTGCGCCACCACCGCCCAGCTCATACATTTCATTTTTGTCATGCTAAATAAGCCGGGTTGAGCCTAATGAGCTGCATCTCCCCTCCCTTCTTTCAGCTTTTGAGAAAATCTGAGTTGACTGGGCTTGACCAGAGCCCACTTTATAACTCAGGCAGGCCTCGGGCCTGCAATCTCCTGCCTCAGCCTTCTAGTGCTAGGGACTCAAGGGTTTTTTTTTTCTTTTTCTTTTTCTTTCTTTTTTTTTGGACAGTCTTACCCTGGAACACAGGCTAGCCTTGAACTTGAGGCAATTCTCCTGCCTCAGCCTCTGAAACACTAAGATTACAGGTGTTAAGTGGCCATTCCCAGCTACAGTATAAGTTTTACTTTATGTGTATGAATGTTTTGTCTACACATATATCTGTACACCACATACATGCCTGACACGGGTGGAGGTTAAGGCGTCAGGGTCCCCTGGAACTGGAGTTACAAATGGTTGTGAGCCATCATGTGGATGCTGGGAACTGAACCTGGGTCCTGCGCAAGAGCAGCCAGTGCTCTTAAATCCTGAGCCATTTTTTCCAGCCCTAGTATAATTTGTAAAACCAGGAAATACAACATTTACAGAATACTGCAGCTCATACTCAAATTTAACCAGTTATCTCATAACTCCAATCCAGAATCATGTGCATCCTTGCCATACCCTGTCTCTAACTAGAACCATTTTTCCACCTTTCTGGGATCTATAATTTTACATCATTTTGCTAAGGACACAGCAGTTTTCTGTCATTTCCCTCCAAGTACACCTGTTATTCTTCATGTTCCATGCTTGGGCCTCGTGCTGCCCTCGTACACCCCGATCTAGTGTGTTCCTGGGAAGTCCGTACTCTTGCCTGCCACGCGGCACAGATGCCTGCCTGCCTGCAGTGCTGGAGTCAGGGGCAGAGGGAGCCACGAGAGAGAACACAGCCGTCAGCAGCTATGCCACAGCCCCGCTCTACCAAGAAACAGACAGGCAGGGAGGCCCAGAGGAGTGGCTCGCACTCTCTGTGGGAACCAGGAAGCAGGCAGGAAGGCTACCTCACACCTCAGGTCTGTGCCCTCTCTATTCTCAGTTCTTTCCTAATGGAGAGGCCATCTGCACTGGCTCAGACGATGCCTCCTGCCGCCTGTTTGACCTGAGGGCAGATCAGGAACTGACTGCCTATTCCCACGAGAGCATCATCTGTGGCATCACATCGGTAGCCTTCTCGCTCAGTGGTCGCCTGCTCTTCGCAGGCTACGATGACTTCAACTGCAATGTCTGGGACTCTATGAAGTGTGAGCGTGTGGGTAAGGGCTTGCCCCAGACTTTCCAGCCCTCCCTCGTTCTCTCCCAGTTTCTTTATGGGGACCCTCTTAACTGTTGTGTCCTAATTGTTGTCTAACGCAAGCCTTGGAAACCAACACCCTTTGCTTCTGAAACTAAGATCGTACTCCCCAAACAGAAAGTATTCTACGCAGCCCTTCCTCTGCCCAGTGCCATGCCTACTTCTGGTCACCCCAAACCAGCAGAGTGTGTCTTAAGTACCCAATCCTCTGAGTACCTGAGGTTTCAGTGTCACACACTTAAGGGACGGCCTCAGCGTGAATGAGAATAGTTCTGGGACTAGCCTAGGGGCTTGTTTGACTAGCCTCGGGCCTTGTTTGGGATTGGCATAGAGTGCAAAGATAGTCTGGCTTCTATCAGGAGAGAACAAGAGCTGAATGAGAATAATACATGCCCCAGAATCAGGCTCCAAATCCTATTCAGTTGGTCACTTTTCCTTTTCTTTCTTTTCTTTTTTTACCTGGAAACAAAGGGCCCCTTCCTCAGGCCCATCAAAGTGACCCTGGCCTTCTCCTCAGGCCACATCCTCCTTCAATTCCTTAGTCTCCATCAGGGCAGAGTTTAGCCTCCCCAAGCTGGGACTTCTGCCCATCAGGGGCCCTCACACACCTGGGAAAGTAGGCTGACTTTTTCCTCTCTTTCTCAGGCATACTCTCTGGCCATGACAACAGAGTCAGCTGTCTTGGGGTCACAGCTGATGGCATGGCTGTGGCCACCGGTTCCTGGGACAGCTTCCTCAAAATCTGGAACTAAGGAGGCGGGAGAAAGAGAGGCGGGAGCCATGAAGTCTCAGCTGCTTCCTCCGGTGCCCCATCTCTTTAGGATCAGTCTTCATATCCCAGGGCCATTCCCAGTAAACTCCCGTTTGAGAGCAGTAGGATATGGGAGTGTGCCTTTGGAAGCATCAGGGACACAAGGGCAAAGAGCTGTCCCGTTTCCTCCCGCGGCCTCCCCTTTCCATTGTCCTCACACTTCTCCCTTAATAAACAAGAACAGACTCTTCTCAGCCCCTAAAGTTCTCTTGAGCCACCAGTAGCCTCTGTCCAGACCTGGGATGGCCAGGGTGCTAGCTCGTGGTTATGGACGGCACTACCGGTCTCCTGGCCCCTTCATACTTTCTCCTTTTCTACCCTTCCCCCTCTATTATGACCTAATAAAACGTAGCATCCTGGATTGCTAGCCTCCACCCCTTTGTGCTACAAGAAGACCTAGGCCCCGTTAAGGGCAGTAGGATACTGCAGGTGGAAGGATAAGGGCTAAGTACTGGTGAGGCTGTGCACAGGAAGAAGCATCAAGTCAGAGGCTATGTGGCCAGGAGGCCCACAACAGCTTGCTACAGATTACAATAATGTGTGCATGCCTGCATAGGAGTTGGATGACAAAGGGCCTTGGAAGCCATTAAAGAGTTTCAAGTGGGGTATTACCATGATTATTGAGCTTGTCAGGAAAATTGCTCTACCAACAGTTTAGGGTGGTGGGGTGGGAAGAGAAACTGGCCCTCTAGAGACACCACAAGAGGTAGGTGAAGGATGACAGGATTGGGGCTGAGTGTGAAAGTCAGTAATAGAATATTTGCCTCACATGAACAAAGCTCTGGGTCAATCTCCAGGGACACAGACAGATAGACACACACATACGCACACATACATACACACACACACACACACACACACACACACACACACTGACAAGACAGAAGAGATTAAAAACATAGACTCACCAAGATCTAGTGACCATACTCACAGACAGGTCATTCTAAACAAAAGAATTCAATACAACGACCAAGGCCAAGACTAATGTTCAGGCAGATGGGGGTGATGATCCTCCCTACCCACAAGCATAGGGGATAGGCAACGAGGATGAGCTTTAGGGAAAGACCATACCTTTTATTTAAGGGAACTAACATTGAGTGCTTATGCGGCAGCTGAATAAAAGTTGGGGTGAGTGGGCCCTGAAAACTACCAGAAGCAGGTAATAGCTAAGGGGGAAAGGAGAGAGGGGCCAAGGGCAGAGCCTTGGGGAGAGCATCAAGACTTAAGGCATAGAGAAGAGGCTCAGAGGAGGCGGCAGAGAGAGACCCCCAGGCTGCCATTCTACAGAGAACCCAGTACAGCTCTGTCTAATTTCCTACAGCATCATTTAAAACCATCTCCTTTAATACACAAAAAACACACAAAATAAAACAATAATAAAAATGCCCAAATCCCAGAGTTGGCAGCCTGGAAAGAACCAGAAAAGAGGACCTTTTCCCATGGTGCCTTGGGGAAGAGGTGAAGGACACAGACTGTCCCCAGGCTGTGGGTGAATCCAGAATGGACCTAGCTCTCCATCAAAGCAAAATGCTGATTTTCCTTGTCATGGTCCTGGCTTTGCTCCCATGCTCCTCCTCCTCCAGTTTTCAGAAGTCTTCCAGTTCCAAGAATGATTCCTTCCTTTAGGTCCTTAACATTTTCACTAAGAGGAGAAGGCCGCTTACCCTGCAAAAGGTGGCGTATGAGCTGAGGGGCCAGAAGGACATCAGGGAGAGGTAAGAGCTGGGGAAAAGAACCTCCCACTATAATGATGGGTACTCTTAGTGACAATTTTTACCCTCTCTTGTCGTAATGTCAAGGCTCCAGGGGAGTTGTCATCCTGCAGGATGGTAAGAGGAGATCTTCCCAGAACCTTGCTGTTTGTTTTCCGTCTATTGCACTTAGAACCTAGGGGAAGAAAGGTTTTGTGAAAGTAAGGATCAGAATTGGGAGCTTAGTTTATTCTTCCTACATTATCCCACATGTTTCCAGCTTCTCTGCCCTCCATCTTAATCTTCAATTTTGTACCTGAAGACTGGGGAGTCTCGGGATCTCTTGAGGGCTTGTCTGAATTCTGGCTGGCAATTATGGTTTCTGTGGATTGTTTAGCTTCCTCCTTGGTAAACACCTGTTTGGGGGGGAGTTCAGCCTGGCTCCATGGCAGCAACTGGTCCTCAAGGGATAACTGAGTACCCAAAGGCAGGTCCGGTTCAGAAGATAAAGGTGCTTGCTGGGGCAGAGCGAGCTCTGGGGGGGAAATGGCTTTGGAGGCTTCCGTCTCAAATTCTTCACTCAGCTCTTTCACCAGAGGACTGGGAGGGTCTAGAGGAAAGAAGGGAAACAAGCTGTGGCCTTCTGAGAGAAACCAAGGAGGAAAAGATAGAGAAGCATGGAGACTCATGCTCAGATGGGGAAGGGAGTGGGAAGAGCGAAACCAAGGTGGGAGAAACCAACTATGGGCTGGGCTTCAACAGTAGAGTGTGAACACAAGGAGGAGTGTGAACACAAGGAGGGCTAGGTTTTGTCCCAATTGAGCTAGGGCTATCCGAGTATGGTAGTTCACGCCTGCAATTCTATCACTTACAATGCTAAGGTAGGACTGCCTCAAATTCCAGACTAGCCTGGGCTTGTCAGACCTTGCCGTAAAACCAACCAACCAACCAACCAACCAACCAACCAAACAAACAAGCAAACAAAAAGCTGGGTACACACCTGTACACACCTTTGGTCCCAGTAAGGGAGGCAGAGGCAGATGGATCTCTGGGTTTGAGGCTAGTTTAGTGTACAAAGTGAGTTCCAGGACAACAGGGGCTGTTATACAGAGAAAATCCTGCGGGTGTGTGTGCATGCGTGCGTGCAGTGGCCAGCTTAGTTGATAAAAGAACTGTTGCCAAGTCTGATGACCTGAACTGGATCTCCAGAAGCTACATGGTAGAAGAGCCCTGACTCCCTCAAGTGCCCTGTGCCCTTCACACATGAACTGTGTCACATAAAATGTAAAATTGAAAGAGGTCCAAAACAGGAGGCTGGAGCCCCTGGCATGCTCAAGACCTTTGGTTCAAACCCCAGAGTTACAAAAAGAAGCAAATAACAAAAACCAGTAAAACAAAAATGGTCTTGACGCCACCCTAGATAGGCGTTGGCTTCCTCAGCATCCCGAGCCCATCACTTACCTGTACCACTGATCTTCATGGGTGTCCGTGCAATGCCAAGAGTAGGAGAGCGGGGATCTGGGTCTTCAGCTTGTTTAGGACCATTCCACTGTCCTGTTGACAGGCGTGGCTGTGGAGAGCTCTCCACCTGTTGGTAGCATGAGTTAGAACAAGTCTGGGCCCTGACGTTTATCGCCTCCCCATGTTCCCAGCCAGAGCTGCTAATGCCCATGCTATGCAGTCTGCCACATGCAGATTAGGAATGAAGAAAGGGGCTGGACACATGGCTTGGAATTTAAGAGCATTGGCAACTCTTCCAGAGGTCCCAAGTTCAATCACAGCACCCACATGGTGGTTCACAACCATCTGTAGTGAGATCTGGCGCCCTCTTCTGGCATGCAGGCATACATACATACAGAACACTGCATTTATATTAAGTAAAATAAAAATCTTAAAAAAAAAAAATGCAAAAAGTTGCCCAGTGGTGGTGACATACACTTTTAATCCCAGCACTTGGAAGGCAGAGGCAGGCAGATCTCTGTGAGTTCAAGGCCAGTCTGGTCTACAGAGTGAGTGCCAGTAAGCTGTTACACAGAGAGACCCTGTCTCAAAAAAACAAAACAAAATAAACAAAAAGCAGAAAGTTGCCAGGCATGGTGTTGGCCCATGCCTTTTATCCCAGTACTTGGGAGGCAGATGCATATGGGTCTCTGTGAGTTTGAGGCCAGCTTGGTCGACATGGTTGAGTTCCAGGCTAGCCAGAGCTTCACAGTGAGACTGTCTCCAAAAAAGAAAAAAGCAGAAAGTCAGTTACTGAAAAAGAGACCATGAATTTGAAAGACAGCAAGAAGGGGTACATGGAAGGGTTTGGAAGGAGGAAAGGGAAGACAGAACTTATATTATTAGAACCTCATAAAGTAAATAAAAAAGGGGGGAGGTGCAGAAAGTGAGGTTCAAGTGCAGGGGGATGAGGACTCGCACAAACAAGCTAGGAAGAGCCCCCCCCCCCAAACCCAGGCATTCCCCACACCAGCCCAGCGTACCTGAATAGGAGTGCGCTGGATGCCAGCACTAGGTGAACGGGGGTCTGCCACTCGAGCCAGATGCTTGTTGTGTGGCAGAGGCGGCACTGGAGTGCCTGAGATGCTCTGAGTAGAACCCATCTCCACTAGGGGTGGGAACGAGGCCCGACTGTGCAGATGCAGAGAGGAAGGGACGCCCGTTAGGAGCGAGTCGGGTCTCAGAGCTTACCGCCACCGTGTGTGGGACCTCTGACCCCAGACCCACCCGATCCACCCAGTTTCCAGCAGAGGAACCTCAGGGTCGCTGGCCCAGAGACCTCTCAGAGTACGGTGAGTGTCGCTTTCTAATGGCGCATTCAGGTCTGCGGGAACCTCGGATTTACCCTAATTTATTCGCATCACTTACCGGGCCCCAGTGCGACCTCAGGGCGGACGCCTCCAGCTCGAGAAACAACTCCCAAAGCCTGGAGTTTCAAACTTCCCGCCACGCCCCCTGCCCTGACCCTATTGGCTGGGTCGAAACAGACTCTCATAGGCCAGTTGTGGGAAACGCGCTCTCCAGACCAGAAAGCCATTGGTCTGGAGGATGTCAATCATGAGGGCTTGGCCAATAGGCTGAGGATTCACTTGCCCTAGGGTGGTGCCCTGTGGGCCGAGGACTTTTGTTCAGTATCGGCCTGTGAGCAGTAGGCGTGAGCCCTGGAGTGCTACTCAGCGTTTCGGTTTTATTAAACAAAAAAGGACAAGTTACTACGCTGCATGCACAAAAATGGCTGGAGACAGAGTTAGAATGGCTTGCTAGGGCGAGACAGCAATCCTTATTGGTTGACGAAGTTATCACTCACATCTCTCAAAGTCTGCCTCATTGGCTACTGCTTTTCAAATGCCAAGAAGACAAGTGTCCGCCTGCTTTCCGATTGGACGCGTCCCTGACAAAGTTTCAGTAATTCGTGCGTTTAAACAACCCACAGT